GCTTAAATGGATGTTTTTCCCTTTGGGTAAATGGCCTGTATTTGATACAGCACCTTCTAGAGTCCTGGAACCCCCCAAGGCGCTTTACAACACAGTCATTCACCCATTCACACACACATTTGCACCCTGGTGGGGATGAGCTACACTGTAGCCACAGCTGCCCTGGGGCACACTGACAGAGGCGAGTCTGCCGCACACAGGCCCCACTGGTCCCTCCGACCACCACCAGCAGCGAGGTGGCTTTAGTGTCTTGCCCAAGGACACAAAGACAGCGACAGGCTGTGCGGGGCTCGAACCTGTGTAACCTTCCGATTACAGGGTGAGCACTTAACTCCTGAGCCACCATCAGGAATTATTTAGTTGAAGTAGCGTAGATACTTACAGAGCTTTCTAGGATTTTTTTTCTGACTCTGTCCTGAGGGGGATTTAGGATTTTGGATAACGAAGGCATCTCAGAACAGCAATTACTAATTCCTGTTAAAAGTGGGAAAGTCTTGGAACCAAGCTTACGGTGTGCTAGTGGAAGAGGGGCAGTTGGACCAACAATCCTTATGGCGTCTCCAAAGGAAACTTGAAACTCTGAAGGTCTTTCTAGACAGAGATCTGGTCTTTTTGATGCATTTGTTGGTTTCCTGTCCCCTCTAGCTGTACATGGTACGCACCATGCTGGAGTCACTGATCGCAGATAAAAGTGGATCTAAGAAGACTCTCCGCAGCAGCCTTGATGGACCCATCGTGGTAGCTATAGAAGACTTCCATAAGCAATCCTTCTTCTTCACACACTTGCTCAACTTCAGTGGTGAGTTTTTATAACTTCAGTATAAGTTTTGTATAACTCATAACTCTTGGTTTAGTTTTGTACTCAACTTATTTAGCCAAGTTTCAGTCAGGAGCAATACATCACCATGGCAGCAAACTTCTGCTCTAATGATCTGTTGACTTTTAAGTGGGTCACTTCCTGTCTGTTGTCTGATCAGAGGCCCTGCAGCAGTGCTGTGACCCGTCCCAGCTGTGGTTTAGAGAGTTCTTCCTGGAGCTAACCATGGGTCGCAGAATCCAGTTCCCCATTGAGATGTCCATGCCCTGGATCTTGACCGACCATTATCCTGGAGACCAAAGAGCCTTCCATGATGGAGTAAGTTAAATCAGATAAGTTTTTTTTAAGTTTTTTTAAAACACCAGCAGGATCCTAATTTTTACTGTTGTTCTTGCAGATACGTCCTGTACCCTCTAGACTTGTATAACGACAGCGGCTATTACGCCCTCACCAAGTTCAAAAAACAGTTTCTGTATGATGAAATTGAAGCCGAGGTATGGCTGAATGCCTCTGTGATTCTCAAACTGGTTCAGAAGTCCAAAATTCATCCTGTTTTTCCTGTTTGTAGGTAAACCTCTGCTTTGATCAGTTTGTTTACAAGTTGGCAGATCAGATTTTTGCCTACTACAAAGCAATGGCTGGAAGGTAGAGGAATGCACTTGCTCCTTATATGTTTTGAAGTTACTGTCAGGAGTTGCAGCCATATTTATGAACATTTTCTCCTGAATCCAATTTTAATGTGCTTCACAGCGTCCTGCTAGACAAGCGCTTCAGAGCAGAGTGTAAAAACTACGGCGTCATCATCCCGTATCCTCCGTCGAACCGTTATGAGACGCTGCTCAAACAGAGACACGTACAGGTACATGACAACTCTCTGCTGCTCATCTGATGGGACATGATTTTAGGACATTTTAATTTCAGTGAATGTGTTTAGTTTCAGCTGTTCGTTTAGTTTGATCTTGGTGATTTTTCAGCTACTGGGTCGATCAATTGACCTGAACCGTCTGATCACTCAGAGGATCTCTGCAGCGATGTACAAGTCTCTGGACCACGCCATCAGTCGCTTTGAGAGTGAGGATCTCACCTCCATTGTGGTAAGAGGAGCAAGATGGCATTCACTTTTAGGACAACATATTAAGGCCCATAGACCCATTGCAGCATGACATCACATGCCCACACACCCGCCCCTGGCTGGAGGGCAAGATGCCTGCACGTCCCCGTTGACCACAGTTGTTTATCTACTTGTTGTCAATAAACAGAGCTAAATCTATCGTCATGGCTAACAAACATAGAGCTCAGGGTATCCACGGGTCTTTAAAAAGTCTTAAATTTGCTTTTCCAAATTTAAGGCCTTAAAAATCCTTAAAAATGACAAATAATCCTTAAATGAGTTTCCAAAGGTCTTAAATTACCAAAGACCCAATAAACAAGATTCTTTTATTTCTATAAAATTTTCGTGAATTTCTAGTTAGTGTTCAGCACTTTTGTGTATGATGTTGGCGTAAGCGGAACGTTACACATTCTGCCAGCCTGTATGCATTTTGCCTAGCCAGTACACAATTTGACATCTATTTACGCTGGTACGACTCACCCCTCTAAACTACGCAAAAAGCACGTGAGTTGAGTTCTGTGGCAAATATGCACATGTGGTACTCATGTCTGAAAAACACGGCTCAGCGGCGCGGTGAAGAAGTTTAAGCCAATCGTCGTAGAAAAGCAGAGAAAAACTGTCCTGCCTAACCTAGCGTAACACCCCCGCCTCCTCCTCTCTGCTTCGTCCTGCTCCTCTCTCCCTCCGGTTCGCCACTCGCTGCTGTTCTCGTAAGGTAAAGTGTGAGTGCGTGTGTGTGTAAAATTTTCCATCCGGTGAATGGGGAGATTACAGCGTGAAAAGCAATGGAGTTGCAAAAGTGCGCGAAAAAAATGCCACACAGGTGGTACTCAAAAAATTTTGACAAGGTTGGCAGGTCTGCATTCAGTTGGTTGTGAAAGGGGTCTATTTTTAGATGATAAAATTCTTTTGATCTTTTATATTGGAAATGTCTGAAATCTCCCACATGTTGGGATTAAATTTGAAGATTTGATTAATTTCTAAATATACAGGTCTTTCACAAAAAATTAGCCTATTGTGATGAAGTTCATTATTGTCTGTAATGTACTGATAAACATTAGACTTACATATTAGATTCATTACACACAACTGAAGTAGTTCAAGCCTTTTATTGTTTCTAATATTGATGATTTTGGCATACAGCTCATAAAAACCCAAAACTCCTATCTCAATAAATTAGCATATCATGAAAAGGTTCTCTAAACGAGCTACCGGTATTAACCTAATCATCTGAATCAACTAATTAACTCTAAACACCTGCAAAAGATTCCCGAGGCTTTTAAAAACTCCCAGCCTGGTTCATTACTCAAAACCGCAATCATGAGTAAGACTGCCAAACTGACTGCTGTCCAGAAGGCCGTCATTGACACCCTCAAGCAAGAGGGTCAGACACAGAAAGACATTTCTGAACGAATAGGCTGTTCCCAGAATGCTGTATCAAGGCACCTCAGTGGGAAGTCTGTGGGAAGGAAAAAGTGTGGCAGAAAACGAGAAGAGGTGACCGGACCCTGAGGAAGATTGTGGAGAAGGACCGATTCCAGACCTTGGGGGACCTGCGGAAGCAGTGGACTGAGTCTGGAGTAGAACCATCCAGAGTCACCGTGTACAGGCATGTGCAGGAAATGGACTACAGGTGCCGCATTCTCCACGTTAAGCCACTTTTGAACCAGAAACAGCGGCAGAAGCGCCTGACCTGGGCTACAGAGAAGCAGCACTGGACTGTTGCTCAGTGGTCCAAAGTACTTTTTTCAGATGAAAGCAAATTTTGCATGTCGTTCGGAAATCAAGATGCCAGAGTCTGGAGGAAGACTGGGCAGAGGGAAATGCCAACATGCCTGAAGTCCAGTGTCAAGTACCCACAGTCAGTGATGGTCTGGGGTGCCATGTCAGCTGCTGGTGTTGGTCCACTGTGTTTTATCAAGGGCAGGGTCAATGCAGCTAGCTATCAGGAGATTTTGGAGCACTTCATGCTTCCATCTGCTGAAAAGCTTTATGGAGATGAAGATTTCATTTTTCAGTACGACCTGGCACCTGCTCACAGTGCCAAAACCACTGGTAAATGTTTACTGACCATGGTACTACTGTTCTCAACTGGCCTGGCAACTCTCCTGGCCTGAACCCCGTAGAGAATCTGTGGGATATTGTGAAGAGAAAGTTGAGAGACGCAAGACCCAACACTCTGGATGAGCTTAAGGCCACTGTCGAAGCATCCTGGGCCTCCATAACACCTCAGCAGTGCCACAGGCTGCTTGCCTCCATGCCACGCCGCACTGAAGCAGTCATTTCTGCAAAAGGATTCCCGACCAAGTATTGATTGCATAACTGAACATAATTATTTGAAGGTTGACTTTTAACTTTCATAATGTTTTAGCGTGATAGAATGCTCAGCATTCTAATTATCTGTGAGAAGCGTTCTGCAGTAAAAAAAAAAAAGAAAGAAAAACAGCATCAATGCAGCTTTTTTTTCTAACAGAGCGTATTTTCGGAGCGGCAGATGAAATTTACAAAGGCTATATTAATTGGATGCGTTTGTAAATTTAATCTGCTCTGAAAATGCGCTCTTGTGCAATTAGAAAAAAAGGCAGCATTCTAATTTTCTAACTGCAGCACATTTTCAGAGCGGCAGATTAAATAAACGCTCCCAATTAATCTAGCGTTTGTATATTTAATCTGCCGCTCTGAAAATGTTCTCTCCAGTTAGAAATAAACAGCAATGAATGCTGCATTTTTTAACTGCAGAGCGAATTTATTCACAGAAATATAGAATGCTGCCATTTTCATGAGAATAAACAAATGGTTTGTGACACATCAGAGTGGACATAAAATGGCTTATTAGAATAGGGGCACATGTTTCAATCAGCAGTTTGAGGATTCCTTTATATAGGCGCGTTTAGAAACCACACAGACCTTAACTGAGCTAACGGTGCCGGTGCGAGAGAAGCAGGCAGGTGCTGCTGCGTTTAAGTGTTTCTTTTTTTTTTTGAATTCGATTAAAAATAAAGGCGCCCGGCCCGGCCCGTGTCCGTGGTAATTACACAGTCGTTGGCCCGAAGACCGTCGGGACGGGCCGACCCGCGCGCCTAGTGCTCCAGTGCAGGGCTCTACACGGAATTCTCTCTCTCTCGCTCGCCCTCACACACACAAATGTAGGACTTTCCATTATCAGAAGATTCAAGATTCAGATATCAGATTTTTGGTGTAAATATTTGACAGCGTCGCAGATTTCTTTAGGGTTTTACCCCCTCCCTTAGCTCTGTTTTTAACACTTCTCTCTATCACCTGTACAGGAGTTGGAGTGGCTGCTGGAAATCAACAGACTAACCCACCGACTCCTGTCCAAACACCTGACTCTGGACAGCTTTGACGCCATGTTCCGCGAGGCCAACCACAACGTCTCCGCTTCCTACGGACGAATCACGCTGCACGTTTTCTGGGAGCTCAACTTTGACTTCCTCCCAAACTACTGCTACAACGGATCCACCAACCGGTCGGTCCGCTGGTGGCACACAGACAAACCTTTTATCTTCTTTCCCCTTTGACGTTTAATCGTTTGGTTCCTTTTCTTAGCTTTGTACGCAGAGCTATTCCCTTCACCCAGGAGCCTCAAAGAGATAAGCCAGCCAACGTGCAGCCTTACTACCTGTATGGGTCCAAGGTATGAGCTCCTCTTGTTGATTTAATGACTCCAGACAAACTTTCCGTTAAGCTGCACTCTGTTCTCTTTCCAGCCTTTGAACATCGCCTACTCTCACATATACAGCTCCTACAGAAACTTTGTTGGCCCGCCTCACTTCAAGACCATCTGCCGCCTCCTCGGTTACCAAGGCATCGCTGTGGTGATGGAGGAGCTGCTTAAGATTGTCAAGAGTCTGGTATTTTATCTTCATTCCTTCATCCCTGAAACTACACAGCTTTCTTGCCCCAGTGTGATGGGGTTTTAAACGTATTATCCTCCCTTCTCTCTGTTCCCTCTTCTCCTTTTTGTCTTCTGTGATCTATCCATCTTTGTGTTACTTCATAGCTGCAGGGCACCATACTGCAGTATGTAAAAACTCTGACAGAAGTGATGCCCAAGATCTGCCGTTTACCGCGCCACGAGTACGGCTCCCCAGGTGAGATGAGTTACCTCTGCAACTATAGCAGTGATTTGTGACGCTGGTTTTCATTAAATTCATGGATCATGATGAAAATTTAAAATTTCCTGAAGTCGTGCAGTTTTAAAAGCTAATAAATTGTTTAAGATAATGGAAATGTCAAAAATTATAACATAGATGCATGTCTATTTAATGTTTGTGAGAAGTTGAAACCTTTTTATTTTAAATGTTAAAATGGGATTTCAAAAAGAAACACAGTTCTGAAAATGTGTTAAGATTTCTAAAGTCTAATATCCAACAAGAAACCAGAGTAAATACAGACACATCTTTCGTATAACAATTTCATTTATTAAAAGGGAAAAAAAGCTTTCAAAACTGGTCCTGTCTGGAAAAGTAACTGCTCAACTTTTTCAAGAGCAAGTCACCCCCCTACCAGCGTCTTACTCCATCCACACTTCCTGTTTGAAAAATGCACCAAAAGGAGGCGTTGCCTGGTGGACCGAGAGAGCAGCGCTGCTGCAGAGACTCACAGAATCCCCCACCCTGTTCACGCTCTCTGATTTTCTATTTTGGAGAAACAAACATACCGCTCTGCCAGAGAAGCAGACAAACAGCAGCAGGCTTCATATTCTGGAGGATTTCTCTCCTCCTCCTCCTTCACCAGAAAAAAGAGAGGATGGTTTTTTGTTTGAAGGAGATGAGAGAATCATATGAATTCGTTTCAGCTTGTGAGTGGCCAAGCCAGCTGGAGGCGTGGCCGAGACTCAACTGCAGTTCTACATAAAATGAGACCTGCCAACCTTGTCTAAATTTTTTGAGTACCACTTGTGCGGCGTTTTTTCGCAGACTTTTGCAACTCCATTGCTTTTCACGCCGTAATCTCTCCATTCACTGGATGGAAAATTTTATATACCATAATTTCCGGCCTACAAGCCGCTATTTTTTTCCCTGTGCTTTGCAGCCTGAGGCCAATATCATGGTGCGGCTCATGTGTAGATTTTTGTTGGCCAACAACCACTAGAGGCACTCTCCAGCACTAAAGTGAGACAGGCACGGCAAAACGGTATGCGCGGAAGAAGACGCTCTTTGATTTAAAGCGGCACGTTTACACATCAGACACACCCTCGTCATGGAAAAAACACAGAGGAATGCATATGCTGCAGCTTTGAAGTTAAAAGCGATCGATCTGGCCGTCAGACAAGGAAACAGAGCCACCGCACGGGAGCTTGGCATAAATGAATCAATGGTACGACGTTGGAGGCGGCAGCGGGAAGAACCCAGTCAATGTAAAAAAACAACAAAAGCTTTCAGAGGAAATAAAAGCAGATGGCCGGGATTGGAAAACATTCTTGAAGACTGTGTGAACACACAAAGAGCAGACGGCCGAGGTGTTTCCACTGTGCAGATTAGGCTTGAAGCGCAAACAATCGCGACTGAAAAGCAAATTGAAGATTTCAGGGGCGTACCCTCTTGGTGTTACAGGTTTATGAGGCGAAAAGGCCTGTCTATTAGGACACGGACGACTCTGTGTCAACAACTCCCACCTGACTACGAGGAAAAGCTGAAAAACGTCCGCACATACACTCAAACAAAGATCGCAGAGAACTGCATCGCTCCAGATGACATCATAAATATGGATGAAGTGCCTTTGACGTTTGACTTGCCTCTCACAAGGACTGTTAACAAGACGGGTGAATCATCTGTCATGCTGAAAACAGCTGGCCATGAGCGAACTCATTTCACCTGTGTGCTGAGTTGTGCCGCATCTGGACAAAAGCTTCCACCAGTGGTGATTTTTACGAGGGTTACAATGCCAAAAGAAAAACTCCCAAAAGGAATCGTGGTGAAAGTCGATGCAAGAGGATGGATGGTAGAAAGCCTAGTGAAAGACTGACTTGCTGAGTGTTATGGGAAGCGATCCGGTGGATTTTTTCATAGAAAAAAAAGCGTTGCTCGTTATGGACAGCATGAAGGCCCACATAACAAATTCTGTGAAAGCATCCATCAAAAAAACGAACTCAATTCCAGCTGTGATTCCAGGGCGCACAACAAACTATTTGCAGCCGCTGGACATCAGTGTGAATCGTGAATTTAAAGTGGCACTCAGAGATCAGTGGGAAGCCTGGATGACGAGCGGAGAGAAATCCTTCACAAAAACTGCAGAGAGCAACTTATGCTCAAGTTTGCGAGTGGATACTGACTGCGTGGAGCAAGGTGAAAAGTTCCACCATCACCAACGGGTTTCAAAAGGCTGGACTGCTGGGTGGTAAAGAGGACAGCGCAGGGGTGAATGTGCCTCAAGATGAAAGTGATGACAGGGAAAGCGAAAGACAGACTGGAGCTGAAGCTCTTCTGAGGCTGTTCAACTCCGACACTGAAGAAGAGGACTTTAATGGCTTTAGTGGAGGAAGATGAGAGCGAATGACGACTTCTGGTAGACAAGTTTGTTTTATTTACTAACCAGGCATGTTTTGTGTGCAGTTTCTATTTTCTAATCATCCAGGGCTGGTTAGGCTTATTAATGCTGTGTCAGCGCTGTTCTTTTCTTCTAAACATGCATGCAAATTACCAGTAATAATGTGTCAGTGTTGTTTTTATTTTTTATCCGTGTAGCGTCTTTCTGTCTAATTATCTTATGTCATGGCCGTACATGCGCTGTTCGCCGGAGACCTGCATGTGGCTGCTGCGCCGCGGCGTGTGTGTGTGTAGAAAACCTTTATTTTTGTTGGTGCGGCTTATATTGAGGTGCTCTCTATAGTCCGGAAATTACGGTACACACACACACACACACACATACTTGTTCATAGTTCTTATTTTGACTAGAAAAATTATAGACATTTTTACAGTTTGACCGGACGGCAAAGTATCGTGTATTTTAATATTAAACAGTAAAACTCTAAAGTTTCCTTATATAATATTTGTGCTTATACAAGTAACTTGCATTAAATTATTTCAACACAAATTAATAAAAAAAATGTATTTAATGGTAATTATTTATTTTTTAAGTTGCAATAGGTGTTTCTGTTCTCACAGAAAGAATGTAATATTAAATTGGCTTAAAGCACATATGCACACATCACCAGGGCTAATTTACTAATTACCTGCAGCTCCCTGGTGGCTTATGTCCACATCATAATTGCAGATTGTGCAAAATGCATGCTGAGGTTGTTTAGAGGGTCGCAAGCATGGCCACTGTTCTTGATATTTGGACAAAAACTTGAGTGTCACAATCTGCTCCTGCCTCCCTGACTGTGACTCTCCCCTGCCTCCTGATTAGTCCTTATTGTTCTCACCTGCCCCTTGGTAATCTGCCCATGTGTTCCTGATTGTTTCCCTGAGTATTTATACCTCCCGTCTTGTTTGAGTCTTTGTCGGATCATTGTTTGTTGTCAGCGTTGTTTTTGACCTGTCGTTCCCGCTCTGTTATTAAAACCATTTTTACTTTATCTGAGCCTGCATTTTTGCCTCCGGGTCAGCTCCTCCACACACGGTCCGCCGTCATCCACACCCGCAACACGACAGTGAGACACATGGACCCTCTTCTTTTTGACAGGTCTGCTAACCAATTCCACCCTGTCTGCTTCTCCCTCATCTGCCATAGCATGAGCTGCAAAACGAGCTGCGAAAAAAATAATGGCTGCATATTTAAACTTTATAAATAATCACATTCCTCCTTATATACAGGCCAAATCTATCTGCAATGGATAAAGGCAAAAATACACACACACACACACACACACACACAGCTGCCTCTTTCTCTTTAGTCGCAGATTTTTTTTTTCACTCAGATTTCGGCTTGAATATTCAACAGTCAAAGTAACGTTGCGCGTTCACATTCACCAAAAGACGGCCGGTCCGGCCCGTTGACACACACACACAGTTTACCTTACCAGAACAGCAGCGAGTGGCAAACCGGAGGACGAGAGGAGCAGGACGAAGCGGGGGAGGGGGGGAGGGGGGGGGGATGTTACGCTAGGTTAGGCAGGATAGTTTGTCTCTGCTTTTCTACGATGATTGGCTTAAACTTCTTCACCACGCCGCTGAGTCGTGTTGTCAGACATGAGTACCACATGTGCATATTTGCCACGGCACTCAACTCATGTATCCGCAGCTTTTTGTGTCGCTTAGAGGGGTGAGTCGTACTAGCGTAAATAGATGCCAAATTGCGTACTGGCTACGCAAAATGCATACAGGTTGGCAGGTCTGTACTATGGTACCGGCAACATTACAGGGTACCACTTAGCCATCAGCGATGGCTGATTCAAATTAAAATGTATTGCTGACTTTTAGCCTGAAGAGGGCGCAACACTAATTGTTTTATGTAAAATATTTATATTTTAAACAAGATGCACTAAAATGCCAAAATAATGACTACACATGTCTGCAACACTATTAGACACTCAGTTTTATAATTGTTTGGGGTTGACTTGCTCCTTAAGTTATGAATTTACTGGAATTAGATGCATGTTTTTGTGGTAAACTGAGGCTACTTCCATTAGCCACACTAAGACCTGATTATTGCCAGATCTATAAAAATGTTTTAATTATTTGATAAAACCTGTCAACATGAATTAGCCACAAAAATTAGTTCCACAAAAATGAACAATAATGAACAAGTGTGTGTTTACGTGGAATGTCGTAGGTGGAAGTGTTTCAGGTGCAAATAAAATTGGGGGGCAGGTTGCCACAGGCATGCGGAAATGGGGTCCATACCCACACTCCCTGACTTGTCCACCCTGCCCAGATCCCCCCAGGGGGCCGGCCACCCCCACACCCCGAGCCCCCAGGCCTCCGCCCAGACCCGCCCAGGGGCAATGCAGCTGCCGGGCAGAGACCCATGGCCACCGCCAAGACCTCCAAGGGGCCCCACTCACAACCACCAGCAGTCCACCCCCCGAGGCAACCCAAGCACCTCCAGAGGGGGGCAACGGCCCCCCAGTCCCAGACACCCCCAGTGAACCCACCTCCAGGGAACATCCAGATACTCCAAACTCAGACCCTCCACCCCCTCACCCACATCATCCCGCAGGACAATATCAATGGTCCCCCGTCATCGCTATGTGATGGAACTGACCAAAGGAGCCCAGAGAGATTGATTTGAAGTGGAAGCAGAGACTATATCAAGTGTAATATGATCTAACAAAAGATTTCTATACTGGTTGATGCAAAGAGTATCTCTATTTTTCCAATTCAAGAGGATAGTTTTCTTAGCGATGCATATGGCAGTCAGAACTACGTGAACCAAAGATGTTTCAATCGGGACATCGTCCAGATTTTCCAGTAAACAAAGAGAGGGGGTGGTTGGGATATGACATTTAAGACACTTTGACAGGTCTTCACACACTCTACCCCAAAATTCCTGGACAGGTGGACAGCACCACAGTGCATGAATGTAATTGTCAGGAACGTTGTTTGTGCAGTGTGTACAGGTGTCAGACGACACAAACCCCATCTTGAACATCCGATGACCTGTATAGTGTACTCTGTGTAGAATTTTGTACTGAATTAATTGTAAATTGGAGTTTCTGATCATTTTTAAAGTTTTTAAACAAGTTTGGGACCAGAAGTTGTGGTCAAAGCTGACTGATAGATCCACCTCCCATTTTTCAATAGGGATTGCTATTCTGTCGTCTATTTTGGACAGTGTCTTATATACTTTAGACAGTAGTTTGGGGGGTTTGAGATGATAGAAGTCTAATACCTTTGGTGGTGTTTGTAATTCTATTTTATTGAGCTTAAGTTTTTGTTTGACAACAGATTTAATTTGGTGATATTCTAAAAAGCTATTCTTATCTATTCCAAATTGGGAGACTATTCTGTTAAATGGGATGAAGTCCAATCCTTCATATATGTGTTCCAGGTATAGGATTCCTTTATTTTTCCAGTCCGGAAGGTTCATCATTTTATTATTTTGCAAAATATCAGGATTATTCCAGATAGGTGTGCGTCTGCATGGTATTAGTGAAGACTCCGTCATTTTTAGATACTCCCACCATGCTGTCAGAGAGGTGCTGATACTAATACTTTTTAAGCCTTCATGTTTTCTTATGCTTGGGCTAATAAATGGTAAGTCTGAAAGCTCTTATCGTATTGCAAAGTGTCTGTTCTATGTCTAACCAGGACTCATCTAGTGGGTTATCTTGCAACCATCTTGGTATATATTGCAGCCTGTTGGCTAAGAAATAATAATAAAAGTTGGGTAGATCCAGTCCTCCTTTGTCTTTGGTCTTCTGAAGCGTTTTTAAGCTAATTCGTGGAGGTTTATCCTGCCAAAGGAATTTGGTAATTGAGAAGTCCAGAGATCTAAACCAGTCAGCTGGTGGTTTGTTTGGGATCATTAAAAATAAGTAATTTATTTTGGGTAAGACCATCATTTTAATTGTAGCAATCACCATGAGTGATATCGTTAAGGATTTCCATCTTGCAAGATCATCTTCCACTTTCTTTAAAAGTGGGATGTAGTTTAGTTTGGTTAGATCTGCCAACTTGGGAGAGGCATTAATTCCCCGTTTTGTGATATTCCCTGACTCCAACTGTGTATTAAGTAAATTTACAAAAGAGAAATGAATTGGTAGAACTGTAGATTTTAATCAGTTTGTAGTGTAATGTGAAACATTTGAAAAAGAGTTTATCAGTTCTATTGAATGGGAGAGAGGATTGAAAATTCCGGAGAAAGAGTAGAACATCATCTGCATAAAGACTGATCCTATGTTCTATTTTCTTACACTTTATCCCTTTAATACCTGTTGTTTGCCTAATTGCTGCTGCTAGTGGTTCGATAAAGATAGCAAACAGTGAGGGGGAGAGTGGGCATCCCTGCCTGGTCCCCCTCTGAAGACAGAAGCTAGCTGATATTTGGTCTTTTGTCCTGACACGTGCAGTTGGTGAACTGTATAATGTTTGTAGCATGTTTATGAAGAGGTTCCCAAAACCAAATTTATGTAAAGTTGCAAATAAGAACTTCCAGTTAACTCTATCAAAAGCCTTTTCTGTTTCTAGAGATAATATAGTTTCTATATTTCTACTGTAAGAGAAATCTATCAAATTAAGTAATCTACGTGAGTTAGTGGATGACTGTCTACCCTTGATGAAACCAGTTTGGTCAGGGTGTATTATGAAGGGGGTTACCGTCTCTAATCTTTTTGCCAGGGCTTTACAAATTATTTTGAGATCAACATTAATAAGGGTTATGGGGCGATAGCTGGTAGGAAATGCAGGGTCTTTGCCTGGTTTCAACAAGAGACTACTATTGGCTGAGTTCATGTTTGGCTGTAATCTGCCGCTCTCTTCGATTTCCCTCACCATTCTGAAAAATATTGGAGCCAGAATGATCCAGAATTCTTTGTAGAACTCTGCTGGAAACCCGTCTGGACCTGGAGCTTTCCTATTAGTCATGGATTTAAAGGCTTCCTGGAGCTCAGCTGATGTTAGTGGCGAGTCCAGGACTGTAACTTGGCTGTTTGATAATTTAGGAAGTGTTATCCTGTCAAGGAACTCATTGATCTCGTTATCTGATGGGTTTATCTGTGGTGAGTACAAAGTTTGGTAAAAGTCTCTGAAAGTGTTGTTTATTCTTTCAGGGTCATAAACTATAGTCCCGGTTGAGTCTTTAACAGCAGATATGGTAGTTTTCTCTTTATTTATTTTTAATTGGCTAGCTAAAGATTTACCTGATTTATTACTATGTTCAAAGTTTTCTATTCGTAGTCTTTGTGCTAAAAATTGTGTCTTTTTGTCAATAATTCCATGAAGTTCTAATTTAGCTTTACGTAATTTGCTCAGTAACTCTTCTTCTGTGGATGCCTCTAAAGACTTAATGATTTATTCTTACTCCTGAATACGTTAGTTTTCTGCTTTTTTCTTATGTGATGAGAAAGTGATTATTTTACCTCTCATCACCGCCTTTCCTGATTCCCAGAGAACCGATGCTGATGCTCCAGGCAGGTCATTATGTTCTAAATATAAAGCCCACTCCTTTTTAAAAAATTATATAAAACCTTCGTCTTTGAGCAGTGATGTATTAAACCTCCAGTTTTTGCTTGGTGGGATTGTCTTCTTGTTTACCAGAGTTAAAGAAACCGGAGCATGGTCGCTGACAACTATGGGGTGTATCTCAGTGTCTGAAATGTCAGCCAACAATGAGCTGCTGACTAGAAAATAGTCCAAATGTGAATGAGAGTGATGGACGTGTGAAAAAAACTGTACTCTCTACGGTTAGGATTAAGAGATCACCATGCATCACAAAGCCCATAGTCACTCATGTACTGTTTAATTATGTTAGTGGATTGCCAATTGCACTGAGTCCCAGCTGTACTGAGCCTGTCTGTTAAAGAGTTCATCCAAAAATTAAAATCGCCTCCAAGTATAAGTGGACAGACCAAGTGTTCGGAGAGTACAGAGAAAAAATTATGAAAGAATGAAGGGTCATCAATATTTGGACAGTATATGCTGACGATAAATAAGCTTTGGTTCTGTACAGATATTTTCAACATTATAAATCTACCCTCTGGATCAGAAACTGTCCAATACTGTGAAATTGTTGTTTTTGTGTATTAAAATAGCTACACCTCTTTGCCTAGAGTTATAACAGGCAGAGAACATGCTGGGAAACTCAGATGTTTAAGTTCATCTGCATATGTGGCAGATCTATGAGTCTCTTGTAATAATATTACGTCTGCTTGCACTCTCTTTAGCTGATCAACAATCTTTAATCTTTTCTCTCTGGAGCCAGCTCCATGTACGTTCCATGAGACAAACCTTCCAGGAAAATATTACTAGGGCTGGTGAGACAAAAGTCGAACGTCTTTGGAAGGTGTGTGTCCTGTTCTATCTGCAATAAAAATAAATCTAAAACAACAATCAGACGTGGTGGTAGTTTGATGGTGTGGGCCTGGACAACTTGCTGCCATTGATGGATCCTTCAATTTTGGAGATACCAGAGACCTTTTTACCTCTGCTGCCTAAAATCATTCACATTTATTGAAGTTTCAGTGGCAGAAAAACAGTACTCCATACAGAAAACGAGATTGTGTTTACATTGAGCCACTAAAGGGTTAGTTAAACCTTAAAAGCGCCTTACTTCTCTACCTTTGGGTGTTTGTTTGACCTAACCTGCACCCTTTTATTTTGCCCAAGCTGTGTGTGCAGATTTCAGTTGGATGGATTATCCCTTTGAGGAAGTAATCTGTAGATTACTGATGGTCTGTACCTTCAGTTCTGAACCGAGCTCATGGCTTACGATCTTATGCCAGTATTTAGTGATCCTTCTGCGCTCTGCTTTGAGGGCTGGATGCTCTCATCAAATGTGGGTCAGGGCTACCACCTAACTTGTTGACAACAATGTAATCCAACCTAATAGTACTAGCTTGCCAATGAGTTTGTGAGATTATCTGAGACGTTACATTATTTTAGACTAAAATACATTTTTCTTGATAAAAGCTGCATATAACAGGGTAGGATGGTTTTGTTTACTTTCCAGGAATCTTGGAGTTCTTCCATCACCAGCTCAAGGATATCATTGAGTATGCTGAGCTGAAGACAGATGTCTTCCAGAGTTTAAGGGAGGTGGGGAATGCCATCCTCTTCTGCCTGCTCATCGAGCAAGCTCTGTTAAAACGTTTATCCTCCTCTCCTGTCCTTTTTTCTTATATTTTCCTCCTAACTCATTTGTCTTACTTCTATGAGGTAGTAAACAGAAACATTACTAAGCATCTGTTGGTGTCTTGACTGCTGCAAATTTAATTTTAATGTGGATGACCAGTAAGTTGGATTCCTCAAGGTTTCTTCTCAGTTTCTGATGTTAACTCGCTTCTTAAATCAAATGTCACAGTTGAAATACTCTCAACCTTCTCTTTAAGTGTCCATAGGTGTGTTTGATCTTTAACGTTGTTTTCCCCTAAAATGCAACTTTATTTTTTATTACACGCTGGCAACAACAACAGGTGGTAAGAACTCAGGTCTTGTTGATAACAAAACAACACAGAGACCAGATTTCTTGTTTTATCTCGTATTCGGCTGCCGAGTTTCTGATGTTTTTGTGTTTCTGCTACACACTTTTTCACCTCCCATCAGCCATGGAAGCAAAGGGACTCAGATAGACCATTTTATGGCTTTATTAAAGAGCAAGTCACCCCTTACAAGAAGCGTACTTCACTCCCACTTCATGTTTGAAAAATGCAACAAATGCTGTTGCCTAGCAGACGGAGAGGGTGGAGCCACTACAAATACACACACTCACGACATTGTGACATCATAATCTACCAGTTTACATCATAGCATACCTCTTAGCCAATGGCGATGGCAGATTTAAATTCAAATGCAGTCAAGAGTTTTTACCTGACAACGGTATAACACTGACAGTTTCAGGCAGAAATTTTAAATTTTAACTAAAATGCACTAAAGTGCAAAACTTTTGACTACATGTGTCTGCAGCATGATTAGACACGCATTTATATAGTTTATCAGAAAAAAATTGTTTATTTGGGGGTGACTTGCTCTTTAATATATGATAGCTGTGATGTATGAGAAGCATGTGCAAGTTTCTAATAATTGGGTGTCGACAGCCAAAGTTTGCTTTTAGAAAATGTCATAGAAGTTCACGAAAGCCTTTTAGGATAACGCATGATGAACAATGCTCAAAATACTGAGATTAGGGTTGTGACTTGTCCAAAATCTCATGTCCTTCAAAATAATGTCTACCCCCTTACAATATCACAATATAGCAAAGTGTCTGTAAATTCAGTTTTAATTTGAAAGAGTTAGGTAAAAGTGAGGCTAATGATAGCTCACTTTCTCAGGTCGTCAAGGTTAGTCCTGGTTCCAGTCATTTGTGCGCAAACAAAACTTAAAGAAAATGCGTTTCTTCCAAGTCACAGATGTTGTTTAAAGTTTATTCTATGTTTATGTTTACTTGAATGTTTTGGTTGCTGGAATGCAGACCTCTTCTCCTCAGCTCTTTGGAGCATGCTGCCTATAGGAAGCCTAAGTTACTTCTGCATCATGGGTCTCCGGAAGAACGACAAAATTAATCGAAGTCAACGGGGCTAAAATCTTTATTTTCTAATCCGCTTTGCCTTAAGCCCTGGATCGCACATATGTTGTACTGCTATTTAAATGAAAAGTAATGATGGGTGTTTCGACCATGCCAGTCACGTACTTTGAGATTTATCAGCTTGTAAAAGTTCGTAATTAGCATGACTACACACCAGAAATCGGCACTTCGCATATGTGACATCACCACATAATCTCCTCTCCCCTAGCGTAGCTGCTACTTACCACAAGACCAGATTTATGGTGGTTCTTTCCTCCTGTGGGAAGTTTGCTGAACTTTCAGCCATTTTCCCTCAGCTTTCTCCGTGTCTGGTTCGATGACGTCTCTTTTTTGTGAAGCACATTTGTAGTCTTGGACTTATTTTCACACAAAACCTAAAATATCGCCCCCCCCCCCCCCACCCCTTCAAAAATAAGCACGTTCTTGGTATTAAATTTGTCTTTAAAAATCACGGACATCATATGTGAAATCCTATTCGTTCTTCCGGGGACCCATGATGCGGGAGTGACTAAAGCTTGGTTTATGCTTGACGCATTCACTTTCCGCTTGGTGATGCAGCTCGCGGATGGAACGCGCTTCACAACTTGCAGCGTTTATGGTTCATGCGGCTTGTCTCTGCAGTGAGAGCCAACTCAGCTGTTTTAGAATTGGTGAAGTGTTCTTGTTTCCACCAGGATCACCGCTTTTCCCTTTGTTCCCCTTCCTTGCCTTCACATATCGCCCCCTCATGTTTTTCCAGCATTTTGTAACAGCGTCCTCGTCTTTTCCGACAGTGCGAGCTATTTCTCTCCAAGAATTATTAACAACATGTTGATCACGGTGATCTTTGAGAGCTGAATCATACAAATGTCAGGAGACGACGATCAGGGACGCGCAGGGGCACGTGGCTCTGCTGGCGTCACTGTTTGACGCCTGCGGTCACACGGACATTATTCGACTATTTAACCTTCCCCAGTAACTGTGACCTTAAGGTTAGGATTGGGGTGAGGGGAAGGTTAAGTAGTTCACAAGTCGTTCTAATGTCTGTCTCACCACCGGCGTCAGATACCGACGCTCTGGGATGATGCGTCATCAGCGTGTCCATGATCGTCGACTCTTGACACGCTGGGGCATCCCGAATCGTCATATATTGAGGCTTGGTCACACGCGTCATATATTGACGCTTTGGGTGTGAGAATGTGTTGGACTGAAAGTAAGAATGCTCAGGCCAATGGTAGACTTTCTGAGACAACAATGGAGCGTGGATAGACCAACCAGCAGTGTCAAATCTTTTGCTACTGCAGGGGTGTTTGAACTTTGTAAGACAAGAGCTGAAATTGTCAAGTTAATAGTCCTTGCAGCCACAAAGTTTAATTTCTTATACAAAAAATGTTTAATAGGATTGATTTATTTATTGTCAAAATAGGTATAAAAGTAAAAATGTGAAAGTATCTATCTACACCAAGAAGCTGCTGGAGAGACAAAATTCATCATTCTAGAAGTACAAGAGAGGGCCGCACAAAATCACCCCAAGAGCCACAAGTGGGCCCCGTGCCGCATTTTGGGTGTACCTTTGGCAGTGCTGTGGTTTGTTTAGATTTCTAAGCTGAAAAAACATGCAGGTTGTGTAAAAAAATCCAGATTAGTTCGATTCTGCCACCCATCATTTAGGAACAAGCTTTCTCTTGGCCCTTCAGTTCGGAGCGCCTCCACAAGCTGCAGACTCCATGCCTGCATCCACATTGTTCAGTGGTGACTTCCAGTGAAAGAATAATAGCTTAAACAGAGTAATTTGCAGTATAAATGTTTTAAAATGTATTCATCTGATGTGTTTTAGAGCATCAAACAGCCCAAAACAACGTCAGGTTGCTTTACTTATAATGTCCTTATCTTCCATGGGGGAGGTCATTTTATTTCCTAGTTAGTTTTGTGCTCAACTTTCTGATTTCGCCTGTTTTTTTAAGTTTGCCTGGAATGCCTGAGTACATGACGCTCGTATCCTGTACTTTCATCATTCCTGTGTGACTGCACTGACTCTGTGCCTGTCGTCGCTGCATGATTCTCTCGTCTCGGTCGAGGCTTCAAGATGCCGCCTTTCCACATTCAGTCACTAACAATCACCATGGCAACCGCTTTGCCTCGTTGCATTCACTCTAAATTCACACTGCCTAAATGCACACGGTGTTTTCAGCTCTCTGAGCTGATTGTAAACTGGATTGCTTGCTCCCAACACGAATTTTATGTAATGTTGTTGTGAATCCTGCCAACATCCGCCTGTCGCCGAGGCGGTTCGGCAAACTCAAAGGAACCTCGAGGCTGCCTGCCTGCATGCTCTTAGATGGTTTCAGTGAAGCGAAGTCAGTTTGGTTCCTACTAAAAATGATCCTTGTGCTTGAATCATAGTCCCAGGAGGAAGTGTGTGACCTGCTTCATGCTGCCCCCTTCCAGAACATCCTACCCAGAGTCTACATCAAAGGTAGATGGAATTGCTCCCAGTTCAACATTTTCTGAGCAAAACTGTGGATTAGTTTTTAGCTGTAACTGTTGATGCTTGTATGTTTCACAGAGGGGGAGCGACTGGAGGTGAGGATGAAGAGGCTGGAAGCAAAATACGCCCCTCTCCACCTCGTGCCTCTAATCGAGAGGTTAGGAACCCCACAAGTAAGTCCAACGCGCTTCTAGAAAGTTGTATCAGATTCTTTGCAGCATCAAAAGACTTGCACGTCTGTTTTCTGCAGCAAATTGCCATTGCACGGGAGGGTGACCTTCTGACCAAAGAGCATCTCTGCTGTGGCCTTTCCATGTTCGAGGTGATTCTGACGCGCATTCGCAGCTTCCTGCAGGATGGGGTGTGGCGTGGACCTCCGCCCACCAACGGGGTGATGCACGTTGACGAGTGTATGGAGTTCCATCGCCTGTGGAGCGCCATGCAGTTTGTTTACTGCATCCCTGTCGGGACGCACGAGTTCACAGCAGAGTGAGTAACTCCAGGCTGTTTGTGTATCACTGATATTGTTGAGCGTTAGCTTGGAGTTGGCAGCTGTTAGCTGCACAGGTTGCTGAATGGAACAATGGAACAAGACTTTATAAAGCTGTTCCAGAAGAAATGGTTTTATTGTCGGGACGACATTTTTAATGGTTACTAATATTGTTGTTCTGAAGAAGTGTAGAAATAATACTGCGTTGTCGTTGTTGTTATTATTATATTTGGTAAAACTCTTGCAAATTGTTTGAGACATTTCGAAAACTTTATGATTGCTTCAGATTCCTCCCCAGCACTTGCAGCCCAGTAAGATACTGACTTAAAATCTTGAAATTCCATCCATAAAACCATTTTTATCGGCTTATCAGTTGAGTCATGAGGTTCAGCAGCCCAGATGTTCCTCTCCTCAGCCACATAGGCCAGCTCCTCCAGGGTAATCCCAAGGCATTCCCTGGCCCACTGAGAAAGATAGTGCCTCCAACGGGTCCTGGTCTTCCCTTGGATCTTCTCCCAGTTAGACATACCCGGACAACCTCACCAGAGAGGCATCTAGGAGGCATCCTAACCAGATGCCTGAGCGTCTCAACGTGCTCCTCTCGGTGTGGAGGAAAAGCAGATCTACTCCAAGCCCCTCCTGGATGACTGAACTTCTCACCCTATCTCTGTGGGTGAGCCCAGCCACCCTGCGGAGAAAACTCATTTTGGCCGCTTGGATCTACGATCTCGTTCTTTCGATCACTACCCAAAGCTCGTGAACGTAACTGAAGTATTCCTGTAGTGTAGCCAGTAAAGAAAATTATATTAATCAACGTGCAAAATGACTCGTTTCTTTTCTGCTTTCTGAAAAATATCTAACAACAACCTTCCAGATGTTGATCTGTGACTAATCATGTGGTGAATCAGAGTAATAAAGTGAGTCTCAGTAAAAGTCTCTGAGGGATACATGTAGAGGCAATTGTGTTTCAGCTCCTGCTCTAAATTTGAGTTTTTGCTTTATTTTCTCAACGTTGATGTTCCCATTTCTGATATGCAATGTTTCCATTAACCAGCATGAGAAGATGAATAGACCGGTCACATGTTCAGAACAGGCCATCCCTTGGTTAAAACGAAGTGTCGTGTGTACGCCTTGTCTTCCAGGCAGTGCTTTGGAGATGGGCTGAACTGGGCCGGCTGCGCCATCATCGTGCTGCTCGGACAGCAGCGTCGCTTCGACCTCTTTGACTTCTGCTACCACTTACTCAAAGTCCAGCGGCAGGATGGCAAGGACGAGATCATCAAGAATGTGGTCGGTAGTCTCTCGGCCATCTTTATGAATATCTCTCTCAAGCCGGTTGACTTACAGGCATCTTTTGTTTTCCTCAACAGCCCCTGAAGAAGATGGCCGACCGCATCAGGAAGTACCAGATCCTTAACAACGAGATCTTTGCCATCCTCAACAAGTACATGAAGGCAGTGGAGACGGACAGTTCCACCGTGGAGCATGTCCGCTGTTTCCAGCCTCCTATACACCAGTCCTTGGCCACTACCTGTTGAAACCAGGCCTTGATAAATAGTACACACACACACACACACACACACACACACACACACACACACACACACACACACACACACACACACACACACACACACAAACACTTCCCCCCTTAGCTGCGATGCTAATCTCTGCCTCTTTCTGGTCTTCAGCTCCAGACCAGCTTTAAGAATCCAAATCCTCTCAAACTGTTTCCTTTGTTCTAAAATATATTTGGACTCTTCAAGGATGGTAGAAGGTTTATTCACATGTTTTATTTGAATTTTTAGTCCTCTCACTCAGATTCATGCATGCCTTCTTCTGATACTTCAGCTGCTCGGACCACTGGCACACAAGACCAAAATAAATCTCTGTCCTAGAAACTCGACATCCTGTCGACCTCAATTTAAAACTACAGCCTACATAAATAAACAAAAACATTAATTAGATTAGTCAAGTTTTAAAATGGTGGTATTTGGGGCTAAACACAACTGATTGGCTCATCTGAAGACATTTACATGCTCCAACATTTAAATCACCCACATCTGTTTTTCCAGACCTCAACTGGTTTCAGTCTCCATCCCATAATAATATGCTATTAACGGTACACAGCATCTCATGTTCAACTGCCTTTCTGGAGTTTGTTTAATTTATTTTAATAAAACCTGATCTCTTTTTTTTTTTGCCTCCTTACACATTTTTATACCAGTTTCACTGTAAAAAAATTCCCCGTGGAACAAGGTGAAGTGTTGACTGTCGTAACTGTTCTTGTTTTTAATGAACTCTTATTTTAGTTGGTCCTCTCCAGACTTGCCTCTCTGCTATTAACTGGAAACCTCAACAGTTTTTGTCTCTTCTTTTTGTTAGCTTGAAAGATTTTTATATTGCAATGTTATTTAACAGTTTTTAGAAAACTTTCATTTGAATAAATGTGTTTGCTTTTTCTTTTTCTTTTTTTTTAAGAAACAACACAGAAGAAGTAAGATGAGAAAATACCTCTAGGCTGTGTGTGAGTGGATGAGCATATGTAAGAAATTCTCACCATAAAGGAAAACTAAATAACTAAATATGAATTGCAGAGCAGTTTCCTAAATATAGTCAGTATTTACTGTTGTGGGACTCTTGGTTTAGCTTTAGTAGTGTTATCAAATATGCAAATTCTCCCCCTCTTCTTGGTCTCTATATGAATAAAAATGAAAGAATTATAAAGAAGCAACTCTTCCAAAACAGCCTCAGCATTTTGTTTCTGCTCTGTTTCGAAGGACGAACGTTTCTTTTGTAAAATTCAGTGTCTTTTTATCATATTTATTCCGATCCAAGTTATTGTTCATTTGCAGGTTAATGTAGTGAAAATGAAGGTACAAATGTAATATTTCTGAAACCTTAGCATGGCAGATGTAATTTATTGTCATCAGTGGCTCCATTTGTGACATGAGGCTTTGTTTATGATTATGGTTGTACAAGTGATGATGTTTTGAAGTTTAAAAAAAGACTAAAAAAATATGAAATGTACAACAATGGTCCTGCAAAGGATTTAAAATTATGTTGTATTTCCATGAAATAAAGAAAAATGTTTAACTTAAATGAAAGGTGGGGCTGTGGAGGTTTTTTTAGGAGAATTAAATTAGAAATAAAAACATTTTATGTTTGACGGCATCACTGCACAACATTATACAGGTAATTGCTCACAAAATCTCACTCTTAAAGGTACATTTTGAGTGTAAATGACATAAAAAACAATTTTACCCCTCATAATTATCATGTAAAACTACTAATTCCAAATGCTAAAAAATCGTTGAGTTTTCTGAAACAGAATGACTGACGGGATTCTGTTTCAGAGAAAAGGGGGGAGTTTGAAAATGAAAGTGTGTCCCAAGGTTCGACAACTAATTAAATTAAAATGGATCATGGGAGTGCAAAAGGGGGTGACGTAACTGACAGGTGACATTGATTTTTAAACGATGAGAATGTCAGCTGCCCTGAAGCTCTATTTAGCTTTGGTGGCTAGTGCAGTAAGCTAGTAGCTACCTTAGGTGTTTGTCAATGCCAAGGCGTCTTGCCTTGAGAGGTGATGTCTTGCGAGGCCAGGAACATTGCTTACAAGGACACTGTACTTTCTTGGTCAAAGAAAACGGTTAAATGGAACTGACTTGCATCACGTGACCGCGTCTTCCACGGAGGTCACGCAAGGTCATGTGACACGGGAGATAACATTATATTTTGTACGTATTAGTTTCAATATAAATATAAAATGAGCCTTTTACTTTTTAAATTGTGTATATGTTTGTTAAATTAAAAATATAAGTGAGTTACTACCCGCTAGCCACCGAAGCTGCAACTACTAACCAACAACAGATAACTTCTTTGGATCTAAAAAAAAAAAAAAAAAAAAACATTCTAAACTAGCTGACTTACTTTTAAACTTGAAAATTGTCCCCGAAGTAGCTGCAGGCTTCTAATCCGCCGTCTTTGAAAATACCGTGAAAATATTGTGGTTAACTTTTGACAAAGGCTAGGCTACAAGACACCTCCCGTGTGTCCTTGCTCAGCTAGCTAAATGGCTAACAAACGGAGAACACATGCCTCGGTAGAACATGAACATTGGAACTGAGTGGAACATGTCTTGGCGGTTCCTGATGACTTATCTCCTAGGCAACTGGGGCGAGGCCAAGACATCAAGGCAAGGTTCCTTGACATTGAGAAACACCTCTTGTCTTGATGTCCTGGTCCCGCCCTGTTCGTGCCTAGGAGATACGTCATCAGGAACTGCCATGGTGTGTTCCAATGTTCATGTTCTACCAAGGCGTCTGTTTTCTGTTTGTTAACCGTTTAGCTAGCTGAGCAAGAATACACGGGAGGTGTCTTGTAGCCTAGACTTGGTCAAATATTTTCTAGAATATACCGCAGTATTTTCAAAAGGATGGTGGATCAGAAGCCGGCAGCTACTTCGGGGGAACATTTCAAGTTTAAATGTAAATCAACTAATTGTAGCTATCGGGCTGATATCTGAAATGTTTTTTTTTTAGATCCAAAGAAGCTAGCTATGGTTGGTTAAATGCTAATAGTTGCAGTTTCAGTGGCTAGCAGGTAGTAGCTCGCTTACATAACGTTTATAATTTAACAAATATATACACTGTTTAAAAACTAAAAACCTCGTTATATATTTATGTTGAAACTTATAAAATATAGCGTTATCTCCCATGTCACATGATGTTACGTGACTGCCGTGGAAGCCGCAATCACATGATGCAAGTCCCCACTAATGAACTGATTAAGTGTTATTTTTTTTATAAAAATAAGAGAGAAATGCACAAAGGTAGGAAAGGAAAAGAAAGTAATAAAATAATAGGTTTTGTTAAATGTTCTTCAGATAATGAATTAATTGACAAAGTTTTTGCAGGGTGTGACAAAAAATGTTCAAGGTCAAGCTCCTGGGGCTAAGCCCCCCCATCTCTCAATCCTAGTGACGTCCATGTCTGCAACTCAAATTGCTTTTCAGTACCTTGTGTGGCCCCCACAAGCTTGTAAGCATGCTTGACAACGTCGGGGCATGATCCTAATGAGACAACGGATGGTGTCTTGTGGCATTTCCTCCCAGATCTGTGTGAGGGCATCCCTGAGCTCTTGTATAGGCTGAGGAGCAACCTGGCGCCGCCTAATGGACTGAAACATAATGTCCCACAGATATTCTATTGGGTTTAAGTCAGGGGATCGTGAAGGCCATTCAGTTGTTTCAATTCCTTCCTGCAGGTACTGCCTGCATACTCTTGCCACATTAGGCCGGGCATTGTCGTGCATTAGGAGAAAGCCAGGACCTACTGCATCAGCGTAGGGTCTGACAACGGGTTCAAGGATTTCATCTTGATACCTTATGGCAGTCAGAGCACAATTTCCTAGGCAGTAGAGGTCTGTGCGTCCCTCCATGGATATGCCTCCCCAGACCATCACTGACCCACCAAACCTGTCATGTTGAACGATGTTGCAGGCAGCATAACGTTCTCCTTGTCTTCTCCAGACTCTTTTACGTCTATCACAGGTGCTCAGGGTGAACCTGCTCTCGTCTGTAAAAAGTACAGGGCGCCAGTGGTGGACTTGCCAATTCTGGTGTTCTTGAGCAAATGCCATTCAAGCTTTACGGTGCTGGGCAGTGAGCACAGGGCCCACTGCAGGACGTCGGGCCCTCAGGCCATCTTCATGAAGTCTGTTCCTGATTGTTTGGGTAGAGACATTCACACCAGTGGCCCTCTGGAGGTCATTCGGTAGGGCACGAGCAGTGCTCAGCCTGTTCCGCCTCGCACAAAGGAGCAGGTCTCGGTCCTGCTGATGGGTTGTGGACCTTCTACGGCCCTGTCCAGCTCTCCAAGAATAACCGCCAGTCTCCTGAAGTCTCCTCCATGTTCTGGAGATTGTGCTGGGAGACACATTAAACCTTCTTGCTGCAGCACGTGTGGATGTGCCATCCTGGAGAAGTTGGACAACCTGTGCAACTTCTGTAGGGTTAAGGAATCGCCTCATACTGCCAGTAGAGAGCCAAAACTAGCACGAGTGGAAAACCAGCCGAAAAAGATCAAGAGGGAGAAACTTGAAATGACCTCTGCATGTTAAACCAGTCCTGTTTTGAGGGTTTTGTAACTGTTGCCACTTTAGTGCACCTGCTGTTAAGTCCATGAACACCAATACAGCTGACAGTGATTAACAATGCCCTCAGCTGCTTAATCAACCAGGAAATTATCAGACAGGTTTAACTGATTTCATGCCAGGCCCAATAAAAATGTTCCCTTAATTCTTGTGAGCAGTGTATTTTTACATTTTTCCTTTTTGTGAAGCGCCTCGTGATTTTTATCTTGAGAGGCGCTATAGAAAAGATATTTTCTTCTTCTTCTTCTTCTTCTTCTTCTTCTTCTTCATTCCTTGTGTTAACACCTCTGAGTGTACGCTGTACCTCAACAGTCTGCAGGATAAGCACCTGGCTGTTGCTTGTTAGTGCTGGAGCTGGAGTCATGGTTCCAGCAGTAGTCCCCTCATGGCGGCCAAAGAAGCTGTTGAGCTCTTCAGCCAGTCTGGCGTTGTTGTTATAAAACAAATATAATTAAACAAAAATAAATTAAAATATAAAGTCCCATCTGATAGCCTAGAAAAGTCAATAGCAATCCCACATGGTCTGTTTTTAATAGTACACAGATTATTGCAACTGTAGGCTGCACGAAAACGGAAATGGTTGCCCACTCAGCATTAACTTTGGAGAGTGAGGAGACCCATCCAACATGGCGACGACGCTCTTTGACGCTCTCCAGCGCCAAAATGGGTGTATCCGTATTCGATGTCTTGTTCTCAAATTCTATTGGACACGCACACTCAAACTTACGCGTGACGTATGTTTGAAATTTCAGCGGCAGATCGTTAGCGTTTGTTGTGCTCACCTGCAGCTGTCCTGCAGCCTTTGCGAAAGCTGAACAAAACTTTGTAAAGTTTAGAACAAAAATGTCCTTTTCGAGAGCTCCTTTGAAGAGGTTCAATGAACACGTAGGTAAGTAACATTAAAAACAGCTAGCAGCTTGTGGGCCAATTGTCCACTTCACTTATTCAACGGCAAGTAGCTTAGCTGACGTACTTAGCTTACTGCTAATCAAACCTCAGACTGCCCTAGGTGGCTTTGACGTCTGGTTGGTAGTTTGATGAAAGGACATCAAGTGAACTGTATAACGTGACGCCGGACAGACGGAGTCATGCCTTTCTGACTATTGGTTGTTTTGGACCGAAGGTTGTGCTCCTCCACCGGGGACTTATGACGTCCAAAAAGACGAGCTGAAGGGAGCCGCATCCTTTAATAAATCGGATCGATTCAAGCCCGTGAAGGCGGGTAGGTAGCTGTCCTAGACATTTAAATCAAGTAAATGTTAAATTCAAGCTAGCGACTTATTATTGGCTCTTGTTTTTAGCTGCCGAGGCTGCTCTGCTGCCGTCCTCTCCTTCCGGTAATGTATTTGTGTCTCCAGTTCGGAGGACTTTATCAGCGGACGGTCTTGTAAGTTTAAGTCTATTTAAATGTGAAATATCAGTCGAACATTTAGATGCTTCCACACAAATACAGTCTTGCTGTTTTCTAACCCGTTAAAACCCAGAACGATTGCTCAAGTGCAAAGAGGGAGCGGAGTGGCATGACCCTGGAGAGGAAGCAGCAGAAACTCCTGGAGAGAGAGGTACAGCCTTTGAAAGCATTGGCTCTAGGAAACGTGCATCAGTTAACGTGTGTGTGAGAAATTCCCTCGGCTGTTTGATCCTACCAGATCCGCTCCCTGGTGCAGCAGAGGGGGGAGCAGGACCGACGCCTTCAGGTCCTGGAGGAGGAGCTGAAGAAGGTGGAGGCCAGGCTGCTCACTGCAGTCCGGGAGAAGACCGGCCTCAACGCCAGCGTGATCACACTGGAGAGGCAACGGGCGGAGCTGAAGAAAGTCAACGAGTTTTTGAAAGCCAAGGTGTGTGGATGCGTTTCTCGTGTTTCCCTTTGAGCTGCACAGCACTCAACACGGAACGCTTTTATCCAGGTTTCTGCTGACACCACAAAAAAGAGGATCAATTCTCTCACAATGGAGCTGATGGAAGCTAGGAACAACCTGGATGCTAAAAACCAGGTGTGATGTTTTCCGTGTAGATGTAATTGCTGTGAAAGCTAATGAAATAGTTCTAACACGCAACGTTGGTCTGCTTCCAGGAGTTAAGTCTCCTTCAGATCAACACTGAAAGCCAGCTAAAGGCGTTAGAGTCGGATCTGGAGACTGCCAGGGCTACTGCTTCTGCTCTGAGTGACAAGAATAAAGATCTGGGTACAGGCGTGACTTTATAGTGCTACTAGGAGGTAAATGAGTTGTCCTGATTAAATGTTTTTTTTTGTTTTTTTTTTAGAGGATCTGCATCATGTGGCCAAAGCTCAAGGCGAGGATCTGGAGAATGAAAACGCTCGGTTAAATGGTGAGCTCTAAATCAAACGTGGACCAGTCGATGCACAGCGGGAAGAAAATGAGACATGCTATATTTTAAAGACTAACTTCTGCTTACAACGATGCATTTAGGCTCCTTTCGTTGGTTCTGTAAAACCGATGCGTTTCTGATTTTCAGTTGTAATGCAAGAGCTGAGAGAGGACATCCGAGTGCTTCAGGGATACCTGGATGAGGCGAATGACCAGATTCAGGTATGATCTGCAGCAATAAGAGATAAAAACAATGTTTTAATCTCAAATTCTGTTTTTAAAGGACTAAAACTTGGTTGATATGTTTGCAGGATCTCCGTTTAAAGATCAAAGAGATGACGCAGGAGAGCGCCGTGGCTGATGCTCGCATACAGGAACTAAAGTGAACAGATTCTTGATCAAATTCGTTCATCTGCTGTGTTCCTCACACTCATAAACACCGTTCCGCAGGCAACTCGAGCCGCAGCTCCAGCAGAAAACGTCAGAGCTAGAAACCACGCAGGTTTTGCTGAGACAAAAGGAGGAGGAGGCCTTCAAATTCCAGCGAGAGCTGCAGGCATCCACAGAAGCTTTGTGGGGAGCGGAGCAGAGATTACAATACCAAGAGCTGGAGCTGAAGTCCGCGCAGAAGTCTATGATGGACATGGAGAAGCAAATGAAGCTCGCCGGTCAAGGAGTTCAGGATTCTCAGGCGACTGTCAGCAAGCAGGAGGCCGAGCTGGCCAGACTGAGGGAGGTGCTTCGGAGGACAGAGAGAGAGCTGGATGAGAGGGTGGCTCACCTGGAACAGAGGTGTCTGTTCTCAGAAGAGGAGAGAAGTATGTGTAGACGCACCGACCTTTTCTTTTCTGTTGGAGTGCTTGATTGGAATGATTTTCTCTGGTTGTAGGCAGGAGTCAGGAGGAGGGGCTCAGGAGAGTGGAAGAGTTAAAGATGGAGCTGAACCTGCTGCAGCAGGCTGAGAGAGAAGAGCAGAAGAGACGAATTCAGCTGGAGCAAAAACAGGAGGCGCTTACCGAGGAGCTGACCAAAGAGAAGGTTACTGAAACACCGTCCCAGATGCACCGGCCTGAAGCTCCGTTAAACCGCTGCTCCGTTGTGTCCAGGCTTTGGTGGACTCTCTGACCGTGTTGGTGGAGCAGGAGAGGGAGGAGTACGAGCTGCGCATCAGACAGCTGAAGGAGGAGATGGAGGAGGTGCTGGGAGAGCTCGCCGTCGTGGAGGAGCAGGAGCAGAGGAGACTGGAGGTTATTGAGAGCGTGCAGCAGGAGAAAGAGGAGCTGGAGCGACAGCTAGCAGCTCTGCTGGAGGGGTGAGGAGAGAAAGTTGGACAACGTTTTAGCTTCGGTGTTGCAGAAACATAAACGCGGTTTATAAAGATGGTTCCTGAGGGGCGCTGTGTTCATCTTACAAACCAGGGATGTCCCGATGCAACTCGTTTCACTTCCGATGCCGTACCTGTATCGCAGTCTTCAGTACGGGCCGATGCCGATATCTATCCAGTACGATACTTTTGCCTATGTGGAATGTATAAAAGTGGTTTTAGTCAAACAGAAAACAAAAGCCAGCAACAGTAAGTATAAAAAACGGGCCAATTTATTATTAATCTTTAGTTGCGTGAATGTAAGCAGCTGAGGTTAGGGACATGAGGAAAAAACACAATATTGTTCACCGACCAACAAGTTGGGTGTGTAAAGTTTCCATTTCACACTCTGTGAAAACCCTCATCCAGTGTTTTGTGATCCTGCTTCAAATGCTTGATGGGGTGTAATCCGGTTCTGTTCCACCACGGGAATCTTGTGCGTGACAAGTGTTGCACTGAGCCAAACCGTCTCTTTCGGACATTAACGAAGAATGCAGCCACGTGGCCGACATTGTTCAATTCAAATTCAAAAATACTTTATTAATCCCAGAGGGAAATTGATTCCTTTCTACTTTGCTAGCACACACTCTTCTGACCACGTGGACTTAGCGTGCTGGGTCTGGGCGCTGCGGGACAGAATTGCTGGAATAGAATTTAAAACGGAACGTACCGCTAATATCGGAGATTTTTGATGCAGTCCGATATAATCCGATACGGTGTTTAGGGGCCGATATCACAACGGGACATCCCTATCTCGATTCCCTCTGTGGAAGTCCAGTTGGATGAAGTTTCATTTCTCATCTAGAAAAGTAACATTTCAGTTGAACAATGATTTAAAAAACACTTAATATTTAATATAAAACTATATTTTTACCTGATTGGTTTTTGACCCTGTTCTAAGTGATGCTGCTTATTAGTGGTGCACCGATATGACATTTTGGGCCGATACCCGATATTAAGACCACTGTTATGGGCGATAACCGATATTTGCCGACATCGATATATTAACATTAATGCTTCTAAAATCAGAAGACTTTGTATAGAATGAAAATTATTAAAGCTGAATTTACGTTATTATGTACACACAGCACACACGTTAACAGCTCTGAGATGATTTCATTCACCGTTCACATGACTAAACAATTACCCCCCCCCCACCCCCCAAAAAAGGCAAACCAATGGAGACAAGATGGAACAAATATCAGTTGTTAATATCGGCTCGATACCGATATGTTACAAGATGACTAACATCGGCCGATACCGATTTTGATGCCGTTATATTGTCCATCCCTTCTGCCAATTCACTTTTTTCCCTGCATAAGGATACTTTTTCCTTCTAAAATAGACTTAAACATTTGTAATTATTATTTATAGTCGAGTTTTTAATGCAGGTTGAACATGAAAGTGGTCTCCTACACCTACCTCCTGCGTTAGCTTCTGATGGAAAATAGAATTCACTCTGTCACTTAACATTCATGGACTCACACCGAGGAAGGCTGTTGTTGGTTTAGGGTCCAGCAAAAAGCAGAGAATGTCTCGGCTAGTAGAAGCTAACTGTTAGCATTAGCAACCTCACCACACAGCAGAACTCCTCCAGGCTTGTGGTGTTGGTGGAGATAAAACATCAACACTGCAAAGCAAAGGGAGTCAGTGGTAGAGTCGTGTTGCTGTTATCCAATCAGAGGAGAGATGTCCAAATATCAGGAAATAAGACTCCAAATCTTGCCTTCTGGAACTCAGCGGTGATGTGGCGCACTTCTGCCCAATCCCAATACTCACACTTCCACACTTGCGTCCTTCAAATACGCGATCCTGTCTAGGGGTGCGAGTGTGTGGGGTGTCCCGATTCTCAAGTGCAGAAGTTGGTCACGCCCACTTTTGCACCCTTGATCCACCCTTCACCCAAGTCTGCATCGATGTGGACTTGGGTGAAGGGTGAGCTTGGGCGATGGGACGAATGAATCGGCCATCGGCGATGGGCTGAGCCGTTACGGTTGTTTTTTACAGGAGGCTGATTTGTTTATTTATTTGTTTGTTATTGACTAATATTTACACGCTACGCACAGAGAACATCGTGGAGGTAACAATTAAGAAAAAGTCTCCATCAGCGCATCTGAGCCTTTTCTCACCTCCTCCACCTCTGGCTGCTGACGGCGCACACGCAAGCGACGCGCCGAGGAGGGGTTTGGAGAGCGTCTGTGACACGCTCGACATCGTGCACTACAGCGCGGCGTTGAGTGGAAAGTGGAAACCCTTCTGTCTTTCAGAGTCTGGAAGACTTCTGGTTATTTCGTTTGGAGAAATGTTTCCTGATTTAAAACTTTGGCTGAAGTAGCGCTCGTCGTTACTCAGCACCTGCTTCGAGTGTGTCAGCAGAGCACGGATCCATCCAGAACATTATTTAAACAGCCATGAGTCTGTCTGAGGCAAAAGTCTAGGTAGAAGCTCGTAACCTCTTCAGCAAGCTCCAGAGAGACATTTGATTACACACAAGCTGCAGGTGATCAGTTCAGGTGCACGCGGCGCAGGAGGAATGTTCCTAATTTAAGTGAAATTGATTAATTGCATTGCTCCTGTTACTGGGGCATTCTGATCAGCTCGGTTGGACTAAATATTAATTAAAATGAATGGAAATGTAACGAATGATTATTCATTATTTAAAAATGAAAGTGACGGGGATAAATGGATCATGTGACCTCTGGCAGCGAGCTGACTCCTCAGAGTGCGTCCAAACGCAGCAGCGATTCATTCCAAATTAGAATTAAGATAAGATCAACTTTATTTATCCCGAGGGAAATTCTTGTGTCATGAACATGCTCGAAGCAGTAGGAGAGACAAAGGAACAGGAAGATGGGAAGAGCTGGCTGTGGAGACAGGAGACGCTGGGCAGTCGAACCTATTGATGTGTAGATTTAGGTTGTTAGCACTTTCGACATCCCCCTCCATCCCAACACCTCTCTTTTGTCTCAGGCCAGTGATAGCCCGCATTCCATTCCACACCTCCCTGGTGTTGTTTTCCTGCAGTTTGTGTTCCAGCCTCCGTCTGTAGGACTCTTTCCCCTCAGCAATCGTGGCTTTCAGCTCCCTCTGCACCAGTTTCAGCTGATCTCTGTCACCATTTCTGAAAGCTCTTTTTTTCTTGTTCAGGGTTGCTTTTATGTCTTTGGAAACCCAGGGCTTATTGTTGGGGAAGCACAGTATGGTTTTTTGGGGGACTACCGTGTCAACACAGAAGTTGATATAGTCTGTAACACAGCCTGTCAGACTGTCAATATTGTCCTGATTGGAATCACAAAGAACATCCCAGTCCGTTGACTCGAAGCATCCCTGCAGAGTCTCTTCCAACTCCCTTGTCCATGTTGTGACCGTTTTTGTGGCTGCAGGTTGTCTCTGGACGGCAGGTCTGTAAAGGGGCTGGAGGGAGACAGGTTGTGGTCAGCCCTGGCCAGGGGAGGGAGAGGGCTGGAGGTGTATGCCTCAGCAGCATTGGCATAAAACAGGTCCAGTGTTTTATTGTTTCTTGTTTTGCAGTCCACATACTGCTTGAATGTAGGTAGAACAGTGGAGAGGTTCGTGTGGTTAAAATCGCCCGTTATAGCCACAAACTATACGTCCGCTGTCGCAGAGCTGATGACGTCATACGCCTGCGCCGCGTTGGCATCCGGAGCGATGTAAACAATGATGATAATGGCGAGGGAAAACTCACGCGGTAGATAATATGGTCGGAGACCGACCTCCAACAGTTCTATGTGTTTGTTACACACAGCCATCCTCACCTTAACGTGACTGGGGGAAGTAACGTAATACAAAATTAAACAAAGGAAAACATAAACGTCTCTTCCAGCAACCATATGTGCTGCACTTGCATTAAAATGTTGATAATTTGGGCTTCTTCTGTGTTCGCAAATCGGTCCATCTGTCATGACGTCACATGCACGAATATATCGTCCATTGTCTTTTGTTGGACGACGATTGGCGTTCGGAAAAATGACACAAATCGCCCAACCCCAGTGAAGGGTATTACCCACAATCCATTGCTGCAGAAGAAAAGACTCGGGTGCCTTTTCTGGAAGTACGTATTTTCAACTGACAGTAGTTACTTAATAATTACAATTAATTAATACTCTGAATGTTTTAGACAAAGCAGGAATTAATGTAAATCTATTTCAAAATATTGTTTGGTTGGTGGATTGTTTGAAAGTTGTTAATAAAGTTTTTCCGACATGCGTTGCGGTCACTGATGCAATGCTCCCGGTTTCAGATTCGGCAATTATATGCACACATGTGTACCACGCACTTAACGCCTTACTGCTCACTTCCTGCAAGTGCACTTCACAGAAGACCGTAGGACGCAGTGTGAGAATTGGGATTGGGCCTTCTAGCTCCTCAAACAGTTTAGTTTACCCAGAGTACGAGCTACAAGGTATTCATTCCTGCTAGAGACTACTGCAGATGTATTCAGATGAGTAAATAAAACGCATTAGAAAGTGTTTCCAGTAGAAAGTAAAGAAGGAAAGTGCATTCATAAAATGAATTTGAAGCTTAAAATAAACATAACCACATGTTAAAGGGGCATTATGGAAGTTTGCCAGCCAAAACATGTATAGAAATAATAAATGTCTTCTTCATACATTCTCCTGCAATGCCCTGGTCCTGTAGAATGAGCCCTGGCATTTTTACTGTGATTGCCTGTTTTTCTGTAAAATCACAGAAAAAGATGGATGCTCGGGTCAAGCAGGCTGCTTCATGCGCGTTCACGCTCAGGCACAGCCCTCCGAACCGTTCTTAAATGGTACAGATACAAATGACGTCACTGGCACTTTAGCTCACCTAGTAAGACGTCGGACTTTCGTGTAGAGGACCTGGGTTCGATTCTGGATGTGAACATAGTTCATTCAGAGTTTCTTTTTTACATTAATGGTATATTTTTTTACAGTAAGACGCCCAAATTTTTATTTGAGACTCGCCGAACGGCATTGCATTCACAGATAAAAAAGATGTGGGTTCACCTTTCATTTTGGAACAATTTTTCAAGCAAGGGAAGAGAATGATCTGAGCATGCAGGAGGACTGACCCATCATAAACCTTTGTCGGCTGTGCTGAAGAGGAAAGGTACAGAACCAAATTATTTAATTAATTAGCTGCATGTTCTTCTGTCCTCTGTTCTCCAGGACACAGACACACACACACACACACACACACGGGACTGTGTCAGCTGTTATTGTCATTAAGGAGTGTGCACGTACAGCATGCACGCCTCGTGCACGAGCCTACTATTGAAGCTGCCGTTACGCTTTTGGCCTGAGGGGGCAATCGCGAGCATAAAAATTCAAAACTCCGTAAAGTCCCTCTAAGGATTATTTATGTAGTTTGGTTCACTCTCTAATTAAGCAGATGTTTAAACGTTGTTTGTGTTCATTAATGCTTTTATTTTGGAACTACAAATTTCCAGCTAAGAAGGAAACACGAACAGTTGGGATGCAACCAAATGAAAATTCTTGGCTGAAAACTGAAACATCGCAAAAATGATGTCGGTAATTAGACCCGTAGGATTAAAGGGACCACAAAACCAACCCTTTAAGCGTCAGTCGCAATATTGCGTTTAATGAGCCACAGCCGCAAATACAATCCCTCCTGAAGGTATTACTTCACACCAGAAGCTGATGGAGGTGTGTAACTTCAATCTGAGCAACACTTTTAGCTGTTTCCGTTGAAACTTCTGGAGCTTAAACCTGCCCCTCATCTGGAGACTCCACACTGAGGAGAGGAGGTGAGCGAAGCACACTGAGGGTGAATACTTTTCTACATCAGCGAGGAGAAACCGATGACGGGTCTGTTCATTGTTGACAACGTGGCTGACTCCGATTCTGAAGAGTGCTGTTCACCCTCTGATGAAGATATTCACTCGCCCAGTAAGAAAGTGACGCTGCAGCAGGAACAGAAGGTCTGTGTGCTTCATGAGCGTGAACACGCTCCACACACAACATCCCAAGCTTATTTCACCGTGTTCAGGACATGGTGGGTGTAGAGAGGATGGTAAAAACGCCGCTAATAGTCACAGACGATGCAGTGAAGCTGAAAGTCTCACATAATTGATATGAGTGTTACAGCAATCGCAGCAAAACAGCATTACCAAGGAAATCAGCACGATGTGCTGTTTCTATGAAGCAAAGAGCAAGTTTCCACATGAGAGATGAAAACGGCTCACCAGACGGTCTGTTACGGCCGAAAACCAAAAACGCTCTTTTGGGTCATTTTTGGCCGAAAGTTTCAGTGCATCCCTAACGAGTAGTTACATTTAAACTTTTACTTTTTCATATTTGTAGGAAATGAATGTGAATCTAATTTTAAACATTATCTTAATGAGTCACAACGTTTGTTACAACCCGGCTCGAGGGACGGCAGCAAAAGGAGGTCTGCACACAAGGTTAATGTTTAAGAGTGTATTTTTATTAAAACCCAGCCTCTACAACGCCACACAGGCAAGAGCTCCCAAAGCCTCAACTCCTCATCCTCCTGAGTCCTTCCAAACCGCACATAGAAGCCTGTTATGCTGCGCAGGTGCAGCCGCTCGTACAGGGAAGGGCGTCGGCAGAAGCAGCCAATCAGCTGGTTGCACGGGCACAGCAGCCCCCCAAGAGGATGTTTTCTTGTTTTCTTCAATCGCAGCGGTTGTAACAACATTAAACATTGAAATGAGTCTGGTTCAACTTCTAATTATATCATAATGGTTTGCCATATTTGTACAGTCATACATGTGCAAAACTTCACACACTCCCCCTGAATACGTTCAATGTTTGAGGTTGTCTGTTTGCATCAATGAAGGAGAACGCACTATCAGAGGGATGATTGTATGATTAATGAGATTTTAGTCACATTTGAACTAGGGATGCACCGATACCAATGCCAATACAGGTATCGGTAAAAGTTAATCGATACCAGGAACCAATACCAATGCAGTTGCTTGAAAGTGGCTTCACTGTAACTTGTCATTTCTGTTCACCTAATATTTTAGTTTTGTGACGATTTCCATTCATATATTTAACTTTTTATCTACCTCACAGTCTTTTCCTGTTGAAAGCAGAGAAGAAAATTTAAATCTGTATTCCAAATCATTGCATTTTTTTCAGTGGTATTGGTAATCGGTATCGACGAGTACTCGGATCCAAGTATCGGTATCGTATCGGTTTGGGAAAAAGTGATATCGTTGCATCGCTAAATTCAACACAAAAGTTGTTCAGAACATCTTAAAGTAAAATGTTGTTTTAAGAACGAGTTGGAATTCAACAAAAGACTCGAGTCAGAGTCGTAACGCTTCAATTTCTCTAAACAAGTCCTTGTTTCTATCTGATGAGATGATTTAAAAATGTACCCAGGAAACAAGCGAGCCTCCGGTCATGTCTGACCACAGATCGCGTTCTGTTTTCATCTCAGTAGGAGCAGCGATGTGGCCGTCATGAACGAGCTGCATTTGGCTACGCTGAGGGAATTCCAGGAGGCGCATTTCACCTCCCAGAAGAAGATGGAAGATGTTGTCACAGAGCTGGAGAGGTGAGCCCTCCACTGCCGGCGTTTCCTGATGTTTTTCCTGACAGTCGGCGTGGTTCCTGTAAGGTTTAGGCTCACACGGCGTTTCTGACTGTGCAGCACCAAGGAGGCTCTAAAGGGAGCAAAGGAAAAGCGAAGAGACCTGGAAGCGGAGCTGGAGAGCGTGACCCGGCAGCTGAAGGAGGCGATGGACAAAATGGTTGAGCAGAAAGAGGAGGAGGTCAAAAGATTGAGGGAGTGGACAGAGGAGCGGCAGGAGAGGCTGATGATGGAGGAGAAAACCAGGGAGGAGAATACCAGGTAAACTAAAAACTCACTTTCTGTCTGTGATGTAACAATTGCGTTCTGCTCCTCTTTTTGAACGTTTCTCTTCTTGTAGAGCGACGCTTGACGCTCAGGCTCGACTCGCTCTGAAAGACGAGGAGATGAAGGCTGCAGAGGCGAGCCACGCGGCTCAAATGGCCCAGCTCCAGGAGGAGCTGCAGGTGCAGACAAAGGAGAAGGAGGAGGTGCTGGGGCGTCTGGAGGAACAGAAGAGTCAGAGTTTTATTCAACTGCAGCACGAGAGAGAGAAATCCCAACGAGTCTTCGAGGAGATCAGTCGGCAAAAAGAGGAAGTGACGAAGCAGCTCCAGCAAGAACGAGAGGAGAAAGTACAGGTTCACACGGCTCTTCGGGAGGAAGGGAAGGCGCTGGAAGCCGAGAGGATCAAGCACGAGCAGGTCAGGTCAGAGGTGCACGGACTACAGGCTGAGCTCCACAAGTTAAATGAGGAATGGAGGAGTTTGCTGTCGGAGGTGGAACTTAAGAAAGAGTTCAGCCATGTACCGGAAAATCAGCTAAGCGCCGCTGAGCATCACCAACCCCAGCTGCAGGCTCGCCTGGACCACGCGGAACAAGAAAAGGCTAGCCTCCAGGCCCAATTAGACCGTCTGCAGGAGAAGATCCAGGATGTGGAGCATGAGCTGGAAAACCACCGACAGGACAGACGAGCCCTGAGGGAGCAAGTGGAGGTACTGACTCAGGAAAAGGTTACCCTGCAGTGGGAAATGCAGGAGCAGCGACAGGAACTCCAAAGACAGCTAACACGTGTGCAGGAGGAAAGGTGAGCAGCACTGGATGTTCTCTCTGATCTCTGGAGGCTTCTTTACACCATTTTTATCTCATCTTTGATTTCCTTTGAAGCTCCTCTGGCTCCGAGCTGGAGCACTGGAAGAAACGGTACGAGGATCTGCTTTCTAAAGTCAGACCCTTTCAGGTCAGTGGCTCGAGTCTAAAACCTGATGGCCTTGACTTAAAATATTTGTTCCATAAATATTTACAAGGTCTATAGAAACGGCATCCGTCAGAAAAAGTACAGTTAAAGACAGGAAACTGTTCTGAATGAATGCTAACACATCCATCAGTGCTCATTTAGGGTGTCACAGATGCTAGCTTGTTCAGCTAAATGATATTTGTTTGCGTGTGTGCCCACAGGAGCAACTTAATGCGTTTGCAGCAGAGCGGAATGCTCTGCTCAATGAAAATGGGACAAACCAGGAAGAATTAAACAAATTAGCTAATGCGTACGCTAGCCTCCTGGGGCATCACAACCAGAAGCAGAAGATCAAACACGTGGTGAAGCTCAAGGATGAGAACGTCTCTCTAAAACAGGTACGGTCCTCGTTTCAAAGGGCCTGTTATTGCGTCTCCTGTGGCCTGAATGCAAGCGTTTGTGTTTTGTAGGAGGTGTCAAAGCTCCGTTCTCTGGTGATCCGCCAGAAAAGTGATCTGGAGCAGCTGAAGGCAAAGCTCCCAGGCGCTCCTCGTCGCAGGTTCGATCCCAGCAAAGCGTTCGTGCACGACAAGGAGAACAGGCAACAGGAAACGGCCGCGCCTCTCTGAGACGGTGAGCATCGGAAACGCATCCGGAGGTCTTTAGTGTGGGAGCGCCCTGCGGCTCAGATACAGTTGTTGTTTTCACCGTTAGCTAAACAGTTGATTTTCAGAATTCTGATTGGTTTCTTCTCTTTTTAGGATGCTGTCATGAGTAGTGGCACTTTTCTGCATGGCACCATCAGAAGGCTGGGAAAGCAGATTTTTTATTTAATCTTTTTAAGTTTTCTGCATGTTTAATCAAACTTGGGTTTTAATTAGCTGTGTGAGAGCATCTTGTGATGGTGATATGTGAAGGACCGTAAGAACGTGGTCGACGGTCAGATCATTACCCTTTAGCAAACCTTACCTATCTTACAGCTTGTGTAATCCGCAGACGTTTAGACGGATGCTCATTTTTAATCTGGGATTCCTGTAAAGTGTTCCTGTTTTGTAAATAAAGACAGATTTTAATATCCACACGTGTTTCTCATTTATTCAGCTGGAGAAAGTACCGAGCATGCTTCTGCTTGCATAACTGTTGCCATGTCCACGCTGAGCCAGCAGAGGGCGCTGCCGGGCTGTAGAAGGCTGGTGCAACCCTGTTCCACAACAGAACACACATTCACATCTGTGCTGAGAGGAGCCTCAGGTTATGGGTCATGAAGCTTTATTTCCTTCACTTGATAAGACATAGCCAGCAAGCATCGGGGCCAGAAATTGACTTGGGGGACCTTTTTATTTTTACTAGCTATGAGTAGCGCTGGCTGTAAGGAGCTGGGTCAGTCGCAGTAGCCCTCCAGGTGGTGGATGCTGCACGGCTTGTGGCAGCACTGCTCCACGATGCCTCTCTTCACCTTGGGCTCATCGTGATCAGACAGAACCTTCCACATCTGCTCTTCCTTTCTGGCCCTTGTAGACAGGAACCCTTTGAAGCAGAGAAAGTTAAATCACCCTCCAAATACTATTGGCTAGTGAAGAAACTTGGACACAAGTCCATTTTAGTCAAACGGCTGTGATATGATGATGCTCCGACAGTAATGGCAAGGCAGCCACTGATGTTGGCTTCAAACAGCAGTAGAACGTTTGAGGTGCAAGATCTAAATGAAGTGTTTTGGGGGTGGCTTAATGAGGAATGCAGGGATTTGTGATGAATGGATTTGTCACACCGCAGACGATTACAGCAACAACTGAATGAAAGGGTTTGCACACTAATGGGTAGCACCAAAGTTTAAATTGAAGTGTCCACATGTCTGACTTTATCATGTAAAAATGGGGTTTTGGCCTGAACTCTCACCTCTGTTAGATATTTAAAACTTACACAAATGAAAAAAGTCATTACTTACTATTCTAGCTTTTTGTGTCTTCCCAGATTCAGATCATTTATTGTCATTAAACATAAACAGTACTGGAGAATGAAATCATGCATTTGACCACAACAAGAATAGATAAACGTCGTTAGCCTAAGGAACGTCAAGATTAATAAGCTAATGGCTAGTCTGAGCAGCCAAGACCGAAGTGTATTGCTGCTTTCGTAAAATGACCAATTATCAACATTTCACAGCAGTTTTTAATCCATTAGACCCAAGGGCGCCCCAAGGGGTGGCAATGGCCACCCCTGGAAAATTGCTAAACCCCCCCCCCCCCCCAGGAAAAGCCAGTGTTAACAAATCATATTGGTGTTCAATCAAACCATATATTTATCTTGATTATTCAACACATAGTTGTAAAACAAAATAAAATATAAGTAATGCATAAAGAATAAAATAAATGCACGCTTCTGATGCTCACATTTTAAAAAAGTTTTTATCTCCAAAGTTGTTTTTTATCACAGCAACAGGTGAATTAACCTAAAATGTTTTAATTTAAATTTGGGATAACATATTAAACAACTCAAATGTATTTTTCTAAAATGCTTGTTTGTGTTTGTAAAATTTAAGTTAAGTGTTTTAAATACCTAGCACATCGCCACAGACTAAATCCAACCAGAGTCACCACAAGAACCAATTTGGTGTGCCACCCCAAAACTTTCTTTGGCCCCATCTGGCCACCCCTATCAAAATTTTCTGGAGGCGCCCCTGATTAGGCCGCCTTAAGTTTCACATTACACTGCTATTCAGAATAAACAGCAGCAGCTAAATGCACCACTGTGTTATGGATGCCGGCTGGCCTGTGGAGAGAAGCAGCCAGGATCACCAAGCCCTGGTGAATCAGCCTGACACCGGCCCTCCTCCTCCTCTCTCCCGGGCTGCGAGGAATCATCATGATGAGCAAACACCTGCATAAAAGGGCTGTGCCTTCAGCAGTCTGGGAGGCAGCAGTGCAGGGGTTCTGCTGTCCTCCCGGTTTTTTGTTTGTTTTCAACCCCTTTCGTTTAGATTTGTTTGGATTCGTTGGAGTTGGCTGTGTAATGTTAACCTTTTTAGAGAGATCTGTTTGCTTGTGTTTTAATACCTTTTTGTTACAAATAAACCCATTTTAAACTCCTCCGCCAGTTCTTATGTTACCCCCATCCTTCACATTTTTACACCTGATGGAAAGGTAACAAATGGGGGCTCGTCCAGGATTTTTAATAACAGACCGTGAAGGAGTGCCAAAATCCCCAGGTGGTGGTTTTAATGGTGTTTTGTTTGTTTTAAAAGGTTTTAAGCAGCAGATGACGTCGTGGATCACTGGCGGGTGCATCTGGAGGCCCCGCCCCCACAGGAGGATCCAGCCAAGGATTAAAGAAGTGGACCCAGAGATGACCCCCACAGGCAGGCTCAGATGTTGCACCTAGCGGGTGATTTACTTCACCATTTCGGGAGCACCCCAGGAAAGGCAGTGGCTAACCCCCTCCCTTTGCTGGTTTGTATGTGCATCAGCACATGTGCTTAATCTGCCCGCCCGCAATGTCCATGAAGAGCAGGGATTTTTTTTTAAATAGCCTGTTTTGTTTTTATCTGGGGTCTCTTGCTTTTAATCCTCCAATGTCTTCGTCACCCTTCAGACTCTTCGTCTCTCAGTCTTCGTCCCTCAGAGTCTTCGCCTCCGCCCTTCGAGAGTCCCCCCCCCCCCTCATCCAGTGTTAAGAAAAAGTTTTAACAGTTGGTGTTGTGTTGTTACTAACATATCCTTTTTCTTTTAAAACACCTTCTGCTCGGTTAAACTTTTAATATAAGTTTTAACCAGGTGTTTTATAGTTGATAATTTGGCTGTGTAATGTTAATCTTTTTAGAGAGATCCGTTTGCTTGTGTTTTCATACCTTTTTGTTAAAAATAACCCATTTTAAACTCCTCCGCCAGTTCTTATGTTACCTCCATCCTTCACATTTTTACAACACCTGTCGGGAACGCAACGACTGCAATGTGGAGGTTTACAAAATCACGTTGCACTGATTCATAATGTAGAATATGGCAGCAGTGAATTTGGATACGCCGTTTTTAGCTCGTCAGTACAGGCGAAGTAGATATGCGTCCATCTGAAGACAACTGCTACCCAGGCAGTGGGGTGAGAACCTACAACCCTTTGGTCACAGGGTGGGCACTTAAACATGTGGTCCATAGTGTGATGTCATCAAGGAGAGAATATTTGAATAGCTCTAGGGAGCCTAGCACCCATCTACTTCCAGACCATGGGTCTCCTGCTGCCAAAAAGAATGAATTGGAGTCGAGCCGATAAGGTATTTTCTGATCCCGTGCCAAGAAAGTGCTTTTTTTGGCAGGCGGAAAAAGATACTTAAAGTGACAATGTGTATTTTTAACGTTAAATTCTGGAAATATCCATCAACTTATTCTAGTCGAATCATCTGTCTTATATAACCATAAAAATTGGGTCTAAAGTAGATAGGGCTATCGTCTTTGGGGGGCGCTGTGTTTCCTTCTGGCCCGCTCGGGGTCCTGCACCTGTTTATGACGTCACACTAGAGGTTAGGCTGGACGTACGACTTACAGAAGTAACGTTGCAACTTTCAAATACATTTGGTTAGTACGAAACACAAATTTAATAAAATTGCTAAACTCGTTCCTAAACATGTGAAAGAATAATCAAAAAAGAGGTGCAATGCATTTTGGGTGAGCGGCATTGCCGTAGTATGATGATGATGTCATCGGCAAGTACAGGACCCCGAGCAGATCCAGAAACTACAATCAGCATTGCTTCTCTTGATGGATGTAACTGAAGGACCGTCAAAGTCAGGAGTCCCGTCGAGGTCACATGCCTCTGCTCCACAGGTAACATTTACCGTGATGTTTTTTTTAAACTAGTGACAGACACAGCAATATGATGTGAAAATACCCTGAAATGAATCCACGTACTGCCCACTAGTGCCAGGAAAGTACATACCGCCACTTTATTGTGTGCAAAGACGTAGAGGACTACAACTGCTCGTCTCACCAAATTGACATCATCAAACCACACAAGGAGATGAAACATGGCTGTGAGTTTAGTGAGCTTCTCATCCTTCAACCAGGACAAAAGAAGGAGCATTAAACATGGAGAAATGCACTACATGTGCAAGGTGTAGCTACTCTGGGGGAGAAGATATTCTGCAGTGATGCCATAAATGCAACGTCTGATTTGTAGTCTTTTTAATTTTTACAAGCAAGCAAATTTGAAAATATGTGACGGACATAGTTGAACAGTTATTCATCATTTAAACTGAGGTACAATATATATGTGATTTAGAGCGTAAGGCAAACCAGACCAGAAAACAACTTTTATTTCCTCATTAATTAATTAATTTTTTTTTAGCCAGGTGACCCATGAGGCGACCAAAAGGACTCTCGTCACTGGTCACCCTCCGCTGTTGGATGTGTGCTGAAGCCACGACTCATACGGCCATTCGATAAACCCAACAGTTATCTGCACTATTATTCCAGGACTCTAGAAGACGCTATGTCAAATACAGGCCATTTACCTTTATAGTTAAGTCTTCCTTTATGTGTTAATAGCCCATCAAAGCTACCGTATTTTCCGGACTATAAGCCGCTACTTTTTCCCCACGCTTTGAACCATGCTGCTTATAATGAGGTGCGGCTTTACTGAAGATTTTTCTTCACCTGCAGGGGGCGCTTCAGCTGAAAGTGAAACCGGTGGAAATCGAAGAAAGTGCTCATTTTAATTTAGCACATGCAAGCAGCCAGCACCACGAAGAGTTTTTTTCAAATCCAACCCCCCTCATCATGGTAACTACACGCATGAGTTCATATGTTGCAGTTCATATGTTGCCGAATTTAGGTTGAAGGCCATGGATCTGGCAGTAAAGGAGGGAAACAGCGCTGCCGCACGTAAGCTTGGCATGAATGAATCCATGGTTCGGCGCTGGAGACGGCAGCGGGAAGAACTCATTCAAGCCAGCTTCACCCGGGGATGATGACAGCAACACGGACATCGCCACAGAAAAGGTATGTGACGAAGCTCTTCTGAGGCTGTTCAACTCCAACACTGAAGAAGAGGACTTTAATGGCTTTAGTGCGTAGGAAGATGAGAGCGAATGACTTCTTCTGGTAGGCAAGTGTGTTTTATTTACTAACCAGGCATGTTTTGTGTGCAGTTGTTATTTTCTAATCATCCAGGGCTTATTAATGCTGTGTCAGCGCTGTTCTTTTCTTCTAAACATGCAAATGACCGGTAATAACGTGTCAGTGCTGTTTTTATTTTATAACATCCAGAAACATGAATGCTATCAGTGCTGTTTTCTTTTCTAAACTTGCAGGCACGTTCACCCGTGTTTAAAATTTGTTTTGTTGAATTAAAACAACGAAAAACCTCCGTGTAGTGTCTTTCTGTCTAATTATCTTATGTTATGGCTGTACATGCGCTGTGCGCCGGAGACCTGCATGTGGCTGCTGCGCCGCGGCTTGTATTCGAGTGTGGCGTGTGCAAAACTTTTCTTTTTTTGTTGGTGCGGCTTAAAATGAGGTGCGCTCTATAGTCCGGAAATTACGGTATGTCCCTTAAAAGTCATTCAAGCTTTCAAACTTTTTGGACATCTCCTGATTTTGGTTGATCAAATGTCCTTCTTTAGTTTCAGCTGTTTCTCCGATTAATTCATTTGAATGATTAAAAAGGATGTGTCTGAAGCAGCCCCCCCCCCCCCCCCCCCGCAACAGCTCAGACCCGATGATCAGCTGATTTGCGCATTGCTCAACTAAACCTCCAACCTTATCTTAATGTTGACACAAACACAGCACAGCATCATTTTAGCTGCAGTTACTCTCTAGTGAAGCAACACTTGACTTCTATGAGCTGAAGAAAAGCCTGAAACATGATCACATCAATCAGGAAAGCGGGAGGAAACACTATTTCTGAGTTGACATCTTTCACTTCAGTTAACACCATTTAGAGTTTTGTGTTTTCATTGCTATTTTAAATTATGTTCTCCAGCTTTAACTCCTCTGCTCATTGCCACTGGCCTTTGGTGATGAAATGATAAAAAAACATTCCCTCTAAAGCAGCCTTACCGAGCAGATGTTCCAGATCCCGCTTGTGGGCTCGGTTTGGATTGTAGAAAAATCCTCTCTCCCCACACACAAAGTAGAGGGCATCCACCAGGTGAGAGCCACACAGGTGTTGGGCGGGGGCTGAGGATGCCTCTGGAGACCTGAGCACAAGCAGCAGCAGCACCGTCACTATCCATAGTACCCTGGCCATGAGAGGGACACGGCTTGGATAGAGCACAAAAAGAAAAATCACTAGTGCAGCAGAACATGGTGGATCAAAGTTTTATTATGTCAGCTTTTAAAGGTGTGAAACTGAATTCACTCACACAAAGTTTACAGACAGAAGCTGGAATGAAGAGGGTAAAGTGAAGGTAAAACCTGATTTTGTTTTTACAGCTCTTGAGTGTTCAGTCACAGATACTTCACAAGTCTGATAAAACCAACTGGAGTTAAACGGCACGTAAAATCAGGCACACAGCAGCAGTTTCTACTTCAAACACAGACGGCGAACAACAAATCTATTAACTATTTATTTATTAGGATCTCAAACAACAGAAAAATCAGCGTCAAACACCGTTCAAGTTTTTAGATGTTTGTCTTTTACATTTTCTATTTCTTGCAGTCAAACAAAGTCAAGACTGTTAAAGGGTAAAACTGATGAAAATGGAAAGTCATCCCAGTTGAAGGTGACCTCTGAGATCTTTAACTGGGATGTTTTGTTGGTAACATCCCCCGACATCAACCGTCCAAAGCTGAGGTCAAATGAAAATTAAGGCAGTTTTTGCTTTAATTTCCTGTTTTTATAGGTTCATCTTAAAAAAATCCAAACTACTAAAGTACTGGAGCGCCGGTGCGGATGCTGCCAGACTCTCCTCAAGGTTAGTCCCCACTTTGCTGTGCAGTTACAGCGGTGGTGAGTGGAAAGGATTTGACAAAAATGACAGAAAACCAATCTGTATTGTTGGTTAAATTCCACTTTTGATTGATTTTTTTCCCCCTCGCAGGTTTAAAGTTCGGCTCCTGTTTCAAGGTGAAAAACATATTTAGCAGTCGTTTAAAAACCGTGTAAACCTTTTGTGGACATCTTGTAGTATACCGCAGATTATTGGATGTAAAATGAATCAATTTTACTGTCTTTAACAACGTACCTGTGCCAGGCATTACAAAGTTGGCCAAGCACTCTATATCAGGTCCGCCACTCCTCTATCCCCTTCTTGGCTGAACGCCAGTCTCCTTGGCACAGAAGACTGGTTGAATTACAGATCCTGTCCGTGCTACACTTTATTTTCCTCCTGGTTATTATACGTATAAATCTTAACAGCCTAAATCTTGAGGGAATACAGAAAAGCTCTCTTACCTGTGTTCTTGGAGCAGCTGGTGGTTATGGATGAGAGAAGGGCCCGGGCTACAAGGTGATGAGAACATCTCTACTTGGCCACCTTTCCCCCTTTTAGCTCTCCAACTCCACCTGGCCGTTGCCACTCTCAAAGGGAAGCCGACGGTCGTCTCATTAACACCCTGACCCCCAGCGTGCTTGATCTGATCTGCTACGGCACTGCGTCATTTAACTGACTTTGGACCAACAGTGCTACGATAGACTTGAGGGAGCAATCACCCACAGTGATACCCACCTCAACCCCTGCTGCGTAATGGCCCGACTGGCACCGTTCAAAAGCTTACAGACACCATATGTCACTGCCTGATCACACAGTGTAGATTAGAAGACTTTCAGGCTTATCATTGACCACTATGTGTTTAAGCGCCGGTTCTTAGAACTCATTATTATGGCTCGGCTAAAGTGCTGCGAAAGGGTCCCCTTACAGGTTTATTTTGATTTGGCTTTGTCGTCACACTTCCATGTTTTAGATCAGCAAAGACTTTAATATCTGATAAAGAAAACTGAGTAAATACCAAATGCACTTTTAAAATTATGATCTTGTTATAGGAGAGAGTAATCCAGACCAACTCCCGCCGTTTTTGTTTAACCGTTTTTCTTCACTTATCCGGGTTGCCGCTTTAGCAGCCCCTACAGAGAGGCCGAAACCGCTCTGTTCTCAGCCACCTCCACTCGTAGGATCCCAAGGTGTTCCTTGGCCAACGCGAAAATGTAATCCCTTCATGTCCTGAGTTGACCTGGTAGCCTTCTGCTGGCAAGACGTGCCCAAAAACACCCCCTTTGGTAGGCGTCCTGGAGGCATTTTGACCAAATTCGTGAACCACCAACTGGCCCCTCTTCACATGGAAGAGTAGCAGCTCTGCTCTGACGCCGGTTTCACACTGAAAGCATCGGAGCGCGGAACGGCAGCGGAACGGCACAGTTTCAAACAGAATCCATTCTAGTCTATGGACTGTTTCAAACCAGCAGCGACGCCGCAATTTCCAGCCAAACTGGTAAAAACCAGTTAAAAACTACACATTGTCAGTTTAAAGCTCTGGAATTAACCTATAAAGTCTACTTGTTTGTTTTAATAAGCTACCGGACAAATATCGATACATCTTAGAAATTAATCATTTAATGCACGCCTACCTTCATTCAAGATACCTTATGAAATCTTAGTCTAGACAAAAATTTAAATACATAATTTTTTTCCAAAATGGAGCTAATATTTGGCACGTAGCAGTGACGATTCATCTCTAAAACACACGCGGAGCATTAAAGCCTGTGAGAGCATTTTCTTTGAAACGTTGCCACCCTGTTTATCTTTTATCTAAATTTCCCATAAACCACTGGACAGATGTTTATGAAACTCAAATGAATCATACCGTATATGGATACAAACCTTTAAATTCTGAAGTCAACTTGATCTTAGCCGTTGCCATCAAACTTAGCAAATGCAGCTCGGTTTTTCAAATGTCAAGATAAACTGCTGCGTGCTAGAGTAACAGAGTAAAACGGGTTGAATGAATAATAAAGATTGTTACTGAAATAGGGCCATCTTAGGCGTCTGTTAACTACTTTGAATGAACTGTAACTGAACTATGAGAAGCTTCAAAGATTCTTCTTATAATCACCTCAGACTAATGTTAAAGTGAATATTAAAAATTTGCATTAATTGGAATAAAACCAAGTTCCTTCTATGTTAACTTTAGATTTCATATGGATAACATTCCCTCATGGGCACACTGACAACTGCTGCAAAATGTTTCCAACAAGATATATTTCTTTTTATTCTGTCTGGCTTTTTGAAACTTCCCAGGGGCTTCATGCTGATCTGTCCATTGTTCTGTATAGCATATCTTCTTGGTTTGGTACCAGTTACCCTGAAGTCTCAGCTGAACCATCTGGTGCACTAAGCAGTGAGGGTGGTTAGCGGGAATGACAACTATTCCCTTCGGTCTAAATTTAACAAAACCCTTGTCAAACTGGAAAAAAGTTACTCTGGACCCATATCTGTGCTGAAAAATGTCTTCTCCCATCTGGCTGAATCTCTCACCCTTTATGAGTTCCATAACCGGATGAATAATGTGGATTGGTTTGTCGGAACATCCAGCGTAGTATGTTCAGAACAAATGATTTCCATTCAAGACAGTTGTAGCATTTATAAAATGGTCTAACAACGTTCCTCCAAAATTATGTTATTTTCTGAGATAAAGCTGAATCAATGAAGGACCTAGCTGAATCCAACAGTACATTTTTGCACCCTATTATATTAAAAATAGTTTTAAAGTTCTAGTATGCATCAGCACAGCTGTTCCTAGGGGTTTGGAAACACCGTTTGTCAAGTGGGGGTTCAGTCATGATTCCCATATTTCCATTAAATTTAAAGAGATACTTTGCAAATAAATATTTTTCGTGTGCCAGTTAGTGATAAAATGACACTTTACAGCAGGGGTGGGCAATCCTGGTCCCCGAGGGCCGCTATCCAGCAGTTTTTAGTTGTTACTCTGCTTAAATACACCTGGATTGAAACTGCTGGTGATTAACAGGCTGCTGCTTTCTGGTGAGCTGCTGAACAGGTGATTCATCCAGGAATCAAGTGTGTTTGAGAAGAAAAACAACTAAAAAATGCTGGATGGCGGCCCTCAAGGACCAAGATTGCCCACCCCTGCTTTACAGGGTTAATGAAAGGCCATCCAGCCTCAGCACGGCTATGGCTACTTCTGTCTCTGCTTCTCCGTCTCCTATCTCTTGCTCTCTGTGTCAGATGTTTAGTTACTCCTCTGCCTCCTTTAGTGATAATGGTACGTGTAATAAATGTAGCATTTTTGTAGCTTTGGAGGCGAGGGTATCGGAATTGGAGTCCCGGCTCTGCGCTGTTGAAAAACCTGTAAACAGCCGTAGTTACTTAGCTAGCGCGGGGCTAACTAGCTCAGAACAACCACGTAGCGACCCTCCAGTGGAACCCGAGCAGCCGGGACATCAGGCCGGCTGGGTGACGGTACGCAGGAAGCATAGAACCCAGCCCGTGGGCCACCACCAACCCGTCCACGTTTCTAATAGATTTTCCCCGCTCAGTGACGCACCCACTGACAAGCCGACTCTGATCATTGGCAGCTCCATAGTCAGAAACGTGGCATTAGAGACTCCAGCAACCATAGTTAAATGTTTACCTGGGGCCAGAGCGGGCAACATTAAATCTTACCTGAAACTGCTGGCTAAGGATAAGCGTAAATACAGTAAGATTGTTATTCGCGTTGGCGGTAACGACACCCGGTTACGCCAATCGGAGGTCACTAAAATTAATGTTGCTTCGGTGTGTAAGTTTGCCAAAACAATGTCGGACTCCGTAATTTTCTCTGGCCCCCTGCCTGATCGGACCAGTGACGACATGTTTAGCCGCATGCTGTCCTTCAACCGCTGGTTGTCTAGGTGGTGTCCTGAAAACAACGTGGGCTACATTGATAATTGGAAAACTTTTTGGGGAAAACCTGGTCTGATGCGGAGAGACGGCATCCATCCCTCTTTGGATGGTGCAGCTCTTCTTTCTAGGAATATGGCCAGTTTTATTAGTCCTCCATGACTACCCAGGGTCCAGACCATCTCATAAATATTAGAACAAATTCAACTGAGCAGAAAACTAGAAAAATTAAATGTGGGTTGTTGAACATTAGATCCATTTTTTCTAAGACTTTGTTAGTTAATGAGTTGATTTGTGATAATCAGATTTCTTTGCTCTCTCTCACAGAATCCTGGCTGCAGCAAGAGGACTATGTTAGCTTAAATGAGTCGACTCCTTCAAATTATTTAAATCATCATATTGCTCGAAGTACAGGGCGAGGAGGAGGAGTGGCAACCATTTTTCATTCGGACTTATTAATCAGTCCCTTACAGATTAATAGTTAAAGTTCGTTTGAACATCTTATTCTTAGTTTTCCTAATCCAGATTGCAAAACTGTAAAACCACTCTTGTTTGTAGTTTTATATCGTCCACCAGGCCCTTACTCTGAGTTTTTGGATCAGATCTCTGATTTTTTATCTGATTTGGTGCTAAATACTGATAAGGTCATTGTAGTGGGGGATTTCAACATTCATGTGGACATCGAAAATGATTGCCTCAATGTAGCCTTTAGTAATATCTTAGACTCAATTGGTTTTACTCAAAGAATACATAGCTCCACCCACTCCGGCCATCATACATTGGACCTTGTTCTGACTTATGGCATTGAGTGTGAGGAAATAACAATCTGTCCACATAATCCAGTCCTCTCGGACCACTTTCTGATAACCTTTGAGTTTTTTATAACTGAGTTCTCGAGACATGAAAGTAAATTTCATTATAGTCGGTCTCTATCTGACAACGCAGTTGCATCTTTTAAATCAACTGTTCCATCTTTACTGTCCTCAGCATCTCAGAGGCATGTAGCAGAGGGCAATATTTTCAGTTCTAGCCCCTCACAAATTGATGCCTTAGTTCATCATGTTAATTCCTCTTTACGTGTGGCATTAAATGATGTTGCCCCTTTAAAAAAGAAGGTAATTAGGGACAGGAAGTTGGCTCCCTGGTTTAACTCTCATCTACGAGCCTTAAAACAAAATTCTAGAAAATTGGAGAGAACATGGCGCTCTACGCACCATGAGGAGGCCTACCTGTCCTGGAAAAATAGTCTTGTGCTTTATAAAAATAAGCTTCAACAAACTAGAACTGCTTATTTTTCAGCATTAATTGAGGAGAATAAGCATAATCCTACATTTCTTTTCAGTACAGTTGCTGGACTTACACAGAATCATAGCTCTGAGCCATCTATTCCCTTAGCCCTCAGCAGCAATGACTTCATGGGATTTTTTACAAGTAAAATTAATTCTATTAGAAACAAAATCTTTAGCATCCTCCCTAATGCGATTTCTTCTTCCTCAGTAAGTGAGGCAGCTTCAGAGGTGACTCTAGAACCTCATCTGTGCTTGAACCGTTTTGATCCAGTTGAGCTTTCAGAGTTATCAAAAATATTAGCTTCATCTAAACCTTCAACTTGCACTTTGGATCCAATCCCAACCAAATTATTTAAAGATGCATTTCCTTTGGTTACTGCCCCCATTCTAGATATAATCAATCTATCCTTAGTAAATGGGTATGTACCACAAGATTTTAAGGTGGCTGTAATCAAACCTTCACTTAAGAAGCCTTCTCTGGATCCAGATGACCCAATGAATTATAGACCAATATCTAACCTTCCATTTTTATCCAAAGTCCTGGAGAAAATAGTGGCCATCCAAGTATGTCAGCATTTAAACACTAATGCTCTGTTTGAGGAATTTCAGTCTGGTTTTAGAGAGTATCACAGCACTGAAACTGCATTAGTGAGAGTTACAAATGATATTCTCATGGCCTCAGATAAGAATCTTGTGTCTGTTCTAGTCT